CCGAGAAGAGCGTATAAAATCTTTGAAGATTGATAGTAAGATCGTATCCCATCCTCACCATTTATTCTGTAGAAAAAGGGAAACTATATGTACATATACAGCCATGGAATAGAGCTTCACTGCTGGAAAACCCAGCTTGGGTGATATGAATGAAACTCTAACGAAGCTGGAAAGAATGAAATATGCTTTACTCCCTTCTTATGCTCTGTACATGCAGGTATAAGCTGAGAACTAACTACTACGTTATTTGCCCTAATTAATTGATGGCTGTCAGTGGAATCCTTGAATCTCTCAAAGACTGAAACTGAGACTCATACGAACCAGATAAATGTTTTGCATCGCCGTTCGCCTGCTTCGAAGCAGACATTGAATCCCTGTATGACTTCAATAGTTCCTCAAAGTCCGGAGTCCGTAGTTCCTCGATCGATGCTATGCTTGGCAGACTGATCGATCGTCTCTTTGGGGTGGAACAAGATGGTCCGTCAACCTGCTCCATTTGTTATGCAGTAAGTTGATGAACATGAAGATGAAATAAATACCTCCATTTTGTCCATTCATATAATACTTACTGTATATTCTTCTTCAAGACATTTTTCTGCAATGTCTATGATCTCCACAATTTTGTGGTGATGACCATTTTTCAATTCTCTTAGTTCCCCATGGCATGGAACGAGCATGCTGTCTAGGTTTGCACATGCATCTTGGTCGAGTTTTAGTGAAGCTGGAAAAGTTGGATGATATAAATGTCATTAGATACTGATTCTTATACATTGTCAAATGGGAAGCAATATGCGGGAACATCTTACAGTCGATGCACGATAAAATATCCTTGTTTGAAGTATTGACATCTTCAAGGGTTGATGAAACAGCAGAAGATAATTTGGCACGCAGATGCTGGTTGGCATCCAATCCGTTCCTGCATGGGTTCACAAATAGTTTGTAAGACAAAAACTTTAGCCATAAAACAACTGGAAAATCATTAGATCTTTTGCTTCAATCACCTGACAATTGAACCTGCTGATGCTTCATTCCCTTTACCAAGAATCAGCAGGGAATTTTGAGCATTTCTCCATTGTTGTGTACCCATTCTAGCCTTTGCCATGCTGCAAATTGTTATAGAGAAAAAAGAAAATTCAATAAAGAATTAGGCTAACTACAGCGATTAATAAAAAAAAGGAGTACAGTACAATGCAGTATAGAAATTCTCATGGCAATTATCCATTCTGACTTACCAACTTTTTAAACCTTCTTCTATGTCATTTCTGCTACTTTCAACTGCTGCAGTATCCTCAATATAGTGATTTTCAGTTTCTTCCATGCATGCTTTCCATTGTCCTTTTATACGACAAGTAAAATCGGAAGCAGTTGACATTTCCTTTTGTAGATTACTTGTTCTGTCAACAGCACTAGCTCGGAGACTATCAACTGTGGTTTGAACCTAAAAGAACATGAACAGATGTCAAACTTCTATTGTCTCTGTTTCAACCCTATTTCAAACAATGAGTTTTTGGCATCCATTAACAAATTCATAACAGTGAATAGAAAGACTCCTAAAAGATAATGCCATGTCTAAGCAATTAGATATTGGATAGGACGCATTTAAAAGTGCTTTAAGCCAGTTTTAATCTTTCTCCAATATTCTTGCCATTGAAATTAAGATGATTTCAGATATTAATATTAATGTTAAAAATGAAATCATTTGCTACTACATTTGAACAATAGAAAACATTGTTAATACGAAGTTTGCAATTAGAAGACATTGGCAAAATGAAATGAACAGTGAACATAAAGTAGTACAGTTTCACACATAGCTTGTGCAGGTATAGAGAAGAGATATATGTATTTCACATCTGTCAAAAGTAGTTTTCGTTACCAACTTCTTCTTCCTTGCACTTGAACTAGCTAACATGGCTGCCACTTCTTCCAATAATTGTCTTTCTTCATTAACAACACATTCCTACAGGAAGAGGCAATGGATCAATAAATGGAGTATAAGATGAACTACTGCTGACTACTTTTAACACCCGAGGAACATGGAGTTACCTCGAACTTCTTCTCAACATCATGCAGTTGTTGGTATTGTATGGTTAGTGATTCTTCCAAGATCTTGGTTAATTTGGATGCATGAATATCCAAGGTTTCGAAAAGACTAGAAGTTATCTTAGATATGGACCTCATAGATTCAATAGCTCTAAGATGTCCCTGTTGTTGTGCAAAAGAAGAAAACCATTGTTATACAATAGTCATCAGCATGAAGAATTTGTCAACTTCTGCATGTCTAAAATTCTAATAGTAACCTACTTCATGCTGCTGTTGTGCAAATGCAGCTAACTTGTCTTCTTGTTTAGACAGACCTACTTGAAGTTCATTTAAATGTTGATCAGCCTCCGAAGCTATTCCTTTGAAGCACTGGATAACCAGAAGAATACATATATTAAAACTATTATGACGGATACTTCATAGAGGTTTACATGGCCACAGAAAATAATTTACTTACATTTTCAAGGGCAGTAGAGTGCTTCAACACTTGGGAATTCAATCTTCCAAAGGTGTATTCTGAATTCTTGTCAAGTTCACCGGCTAAAGCATCTAAATCTCTGATCCCAGAACCACACTTAGCTTTCAGTCTTTCAACGTGCATTCTGATTTCTTCAGTGGCCTGTGCATAAAAAAATGTTAAAATACAACATTGCTTAAGGTGTGGTGCACCTTCACAATTGAACTAGTTTCTTCTGCAAGCATAAATGTAAGAGGATACTGATAAACGAAATGGAGATAATCTAATCTAGCATAGTTATACCTTGGCCTTTGTAGGTATAAATGATTCCATGTCCTCTTCCATTTCTTTCAGCTGGGTCTCCTGTCGCATCAATGAAGCTGAGACAGTTCTATGCAAGTGGTCCAGCTCTTGAGTTAATTGAGACCGGAACTTTTGGACAAGCTTTCTGTTTTCTTCCTCTATTTTACCTTTGTGCTCTGTATGCAAAATTCAGAGGTTAAATTATTGGTAATTGAAATTGCATCTTACCAGAATTATGGCACCACAATCTAGAAGATCAAAAATTAAAGGGAGAAAAAGGTACCAACCTATTTTAGAAAACAAGCTTGAAACATATGCAGCCACATTTTCTAGTTCTGATCTAAGCTCGTAAGCATGCTCAATGAGTGCCTTCTCTGTTAGCAACATTTCCAATCAAAGGCATCAAACACTACACTGTAAAACAAAATGATCGGAAAAGCAAGATGTGGTGGTTTCTAGACCAGACAGTGAATGTGTGCCTAAAATTATGTAAAACATGACTAATTTACGTGATGTTACATGACCATCATGTTAAAGACGTTAAGAGCAAGATATACTCATATAATAGCATAGAAACGAACAAATGAGTGGTAAAACAAGAGGATATTCTAATTTGATATAGCATCTGCCATCCATGTATAGAACTCCAAGTATAATAAATTATCTTACCTGACTTGAGTAGAGCAGATATCAGAAATTCCTTAAATTTTATTGTAGAATTTGCTTTTCTGTATCTTTCTTCTAGGTCCAGCAAAGCATGCTCAGCATCCACCAGCTTTTTCTGCAGCATATTCACACTAATATCGATCTCTTGCCAGAAACAATTCGAGAATTGCCTGTAAATGCAAAAGTAAGAGAGACACTTACCTGTGTTCTTTCTAGTTTGTCACTTAAATCTGCACTAAGTAGTTTTTGACAATTGTAAAGATCTTGAAGCACAGCTAGTTGCTGTCAGAGCCTAGTGTCAGATTTAGCCTTCCATAAAAAAAAAGAACAATAGGGTACCATATTATCAAATATTAAATGCACCTTATCCTTCAAATCCAAATAAAGTTCCATTTTTTCTATTTTCTCAGTCATGGCCTGAATGAAAACAATTATTAAATGGAATGATAAGAAACGAATATGAAATAAAAATGACCATAAAGGCACACATAAAATAAGATAGAACCAATGTGAATTATCATAAACTGACCTTCTTCTCAGCTTCTTCAATTAAAAACCTATTGAGTGGAATATATATGCCATTCTTCTCTCTCGCAGCAAATACCTCTGAAATTGATATAATAAATAATGTAACATATCTGAAAACTAAATATCCTGAACGAGACCAAATGATTCATCTAACTAATAGTTGAAGTATCAAACTACATTCTTATTTAAAAACCAAAACGAAAGTTCAGTGTCTAATCATAGAGGATGTGAGACTTAACAATAATGCTTGGTGATTATTTTGACAATCAGGGCCATCATAGTCACCATATGATGCATCAAAGCAGCAAAAAGATAATTAACAGATACCTCAATTAAAATGCTGACATAATACTCGAAGATGTGGACTCCAGTTTGCTAGCTATGTAAAATTGCATAAAATGACTAACAGCAAATCAAGCAATTACCTTGTTTAAGGCGGTCAATTTCTGCGTACAATTCCTTGATCAATGCAGATTTCATCATCTTCTGATTGACCTGGACTATTATAAATTTGATTAGTCCATTTGAAAATGATTTCAATTTAGCAACAAAGAATCTGAAAAATGTTAATGACCTCGGGCTTATTTTTTATATTCTTTGCACGGTGTGCATAATCTAAGGTGCTCAGTGTCTCGTCCAAACAGAGGGCAGAAGGTGATATAGTGGCAATAATACATGTTTTAGTCCTTCCACCCAAGGAATCTCTTAGTAACCTTGTCAATTTGCTGTCTCTGAAACAAAAAAGGTCAATACTCAGCCAAAAATAGATGCAAACATGCTAGAAAGGAAAAGGAAACAAGATGAGAATTTTCAGTGACACCTATATGGAATATGGCCAGAATGATCAACGAGAGTATTAATAACACGTCCAAGTGTGAGCAAACTTTTATTTATCTCCCCGGCTTCTCTTGCTCTTCCCTGCAATGATAAATATTCAACAGTCATCCAACAATTCTTAACGGAAAATCACGGGAACGGAATGCAAGTAGTCACATTTTCTAATAAATACAAACGACCTAACTCTACTTGATAAACACTAAACTTTTACTCACATCTCTAGCACCAGATCGTGATATATTCTCTGAACCAGCAAGATCCACGAGGTTAAGCTTTCCACACTTAATCATCTCCTCTCCCTCAGGAGTGCATTCCTTAATGTGAACTGTAATGGAAAATATGGAGTGGGATCTGCTGCTTTGCTTGTTGAGTAAAGTCTCCGCGGTATGCCTTTTTGCAGACCCTTTGTCCAAGATTTTGTATATTTCACCAGCAGTATACACTGCCTCCTCTTCAAGTCCTCTCATAAAGATGCCTCCCTTTCCATCTTCCATGAGAGCTATAGATTTCTTGGTCTTGTCATCAGAAAATTTTGATTCATCCGGCACCAAAAGATCAGTTATCTCCTCGTTATATAGCTCAAGAAATGTGACTTTCATGCTGTACTCAGCACTTTGTGCCTCAAGCGTGTGAAACATACGCTGCACTGCCCTTGGGATAACACCAGCATCGCTTGGTAATTCTCCATTCTACAAATAATCGGTATATGATTTAGAGACAAGAGAAAAAGTAAAGTAGCTGAAACATTTTGTTCAATGTATTATAGAGGGAAAAAATATTACCTTAAGTTTTCTTCCTCCACCTTCCATCGAGTAGGTTTTACCTGTGCCCGTCTGCCCATAGGCAAAGATAGTGCAGTTGAAGCCCTCCAGAACCTCGTTGACTATGGGAACGATAGCTTGGTCAAACAAATCCTTTTGCATGGAAGTTGGCCCGAAAACCTATATATAGTTATCAAACTGATGATAAATCTAATGCGTCTATAAGTGAAAGAAAAAAATAGGGTGCACTGGCAGAATATTGAATCCAGAGGTATGAAGACCTTATCAAAAGTAAAGGTTCTGTCTATCTGTTTGTTGGAAGTACTATGAGCAGCTGTAACTTCTCGACGGTGTTCATTGCAGAATATGACCACCGGGGTGTTCATCCTCTTCTCATCATCGCTTAATGGTCTGAAATAGTTCGAGCAATAGAATTGGTGAAGCAAACCCTGAAAAGATGAGCCAGGAGGCCCCAAATCTTTGGCGCCCAATTGGTTTACCTGCATCTGAGAATGACCTGGATATTAACCCCTTTGTCCTTATTAAGCTTGCTGCTTGAATTATTGCTGCTCGAGTTCCCATTCCCATCAACCAACAGCCCTCTCCCGTACTTATCGGTGGATCCCGGAGAGCGTGTGGGCGACACCGCGACATATCTCCCTTTCTTCCGGGAGCCATCCATCTCCTCTCCACCTGGGATATCGATTCCAAAATCTTTAGCATCTCAGCCAAAGTAGCTCGAGTAAGAACCCTAAGTAGGATCGGACATCAACTTCGCAAAGATAAAATAAAAGCCTAAGGTCCCCGATCGCCAGCTCTAATCAGCCAAAGAAAACCGAGCAAAACCACCACAACGTAACATCTCGAACCGCAAAATAAAAAGCACGACGGATCATAACAACACTTCGCATCATCAAGCAAGACCAAAACAGCGCCGGCACCAGAAAGAAGAAGAAGCGGAGGAAAGGACAGAGGGACAACGTACCAGAATACCGCCGGCGATGCGACATCGAGAGCGATTCACGAGTTCCAGAGACCGATGGATCGTTAGCCGGCTGCAATCACACCTAAAAATATGAATAAAGAGAAAAAGAGAGAACTCGGCGTCGCGCTCTCGCCGACCCCGAGTGATTGTTCCGCACTAAATCTCTGGGTTTTTGCGAGATTCTGCTGTCAAAAAGGCATTTTGGAGAGAAGGAGAGAGGATTCCAGCAGCAACGGGGATAGGAGGGAACCTCGGGCGAAGTGGGAGAGATGAAATGAGGAGTTGATCGACCAAAAGTTTGGGCATTAAATTATATGGGTTGGGTTTGAATTGAAGCGGAAACCATCACTGACGCCGTTAGTTGGCCGTTTAGTCCGGCATCCAACCGTTAAATGTATGTAACAAAACCCTACTATACATATGTAATCAAATTACACACACACATATATATATATATAAAACCCTCCATAATTTATGGTATTCTAAAACCACTAATTTTGACTTTTCTCCTAAAGTATTTTTTTCCCATAATACTTTTCATTTAGTTTTCCCCCTCTTGTTATTCCTCTGATTCCTTCCCGATCTGATTTAATTTAATTCGATAAGAATTTATCCAATAAAAATGAACTAAATTACCAAATAATTATATGATAAAAATACAAAAAAAAATATTAGAAGCCAGAAAAAAAATTTATAATCTGAGCCCTTATTTCAAGTTAAAAAATAATAAAGAATATTTAGTAAGGTATTTTTACAAGCTTTTTTTACTAAACAAATGGTGGCAGTATTTTTTTGTGTATTGTTTATATTATTTTTGTGGAATATAAGAAATTTGAAGAGGAATGCTTCTTTGGTTTGTATCGTTGCCATTTCTTTGGTCGAGCACTATAAATTAATGCTTCTCCATCTCCCGAATAAATTTGTCTCAGATCAAATCGTATCATTGTTTTTGGGAAATGTTACCATTATAGATGTTCTTCTCTGTATTATGTCTCCGTGCTGAATGGGTTTATGCGATGTAGGCAGTTCGTTCTACATAGTAAAATTAAGCTTTCCGGATAAACCACGTTCATCATTAATCAGTCATTATGCTGTAAGTAATAATTGAGGTGATGGGCTGTTGTTTACCCGTTTAATCTGATATGATATTTGCTTGCATGAGCAGAATGCATGCACCATTGCATATGCGAGGAATCAAGCAACATAGATCTTTTTTGTTCTTTTTTTGGGATATATGATGTTTAGTCTCGAATCTTTTACGACGACTCTTATTCCTATTAATGTCAAATTTGATCGTCCGCTAGGGAGAACCCATCTCGCGCACGAACACATACATCCGTATTCATACATCGAACGTGTATAATTAGATTTTGATAATGTAATCAAGATGTTTATGCGTAGCTATCATATTCAATTTTTATTGTCAACTCAATACACCTAAATGACGCTTTCAAAAGTTAGATAATGAAAAAAAGTCTATCTTATCTTAATCGTCTTACTATTTGCAAGATCCTAATATAATTTTTTAAGTTCTAAAAATATCCTATCCTATGACTTTATCTAAAATTATAAGATTGATAAATGAATTCGGTGAGAAATTAATATGATTTATATTTTATATAAAAAAAATATTTATTTATTTATTTTTTTAAAAAAATATTTTATATTTATTTGAATAATACACAATTTTTATAAGATTTCATACATACATTTATTTATTTTCGTATTGATTTAAATAAAAATATGTACTCTTTGAATAAATATTATAAGGGTAAATTTATCGTAAAAGATCGAATGAACTTTTAAAATATATTTTTTACCAAATAATACTTAGCTCAATGAATATTTAAGATATATTTTTCATTTATTGTTTACCAAACATTGGAAGTATTTCACAATAAATGCACATTCACTCAAACTCATTTTTCTCCAAATTATACATTAAAAATATAAATATACTTTCAAACGTAGCCATAGCACATCGAGAGCTACATGGATGACGCCAAAGGAATGGTAGATTTCTTGCCAAGTTAAGGCATCAGTCACTCTAAATGTTTTGTTTGAGTATGTCAAATTAAGCTCAAATTAAACTCTAGTGTCTTATTAATGTTAACATAACACTATGGATGGGTGGGTGGTAGAGCTATTCAAGTTTTCCCTTAAAAACTTGCTGCTTCTATGTTTAGCTTCATATTCTGATGGAATGCAGACATGCAATATACCAATTTCTGATGAGAAAAAGCAATTAGATTGTCTTTCGATCAGCAGTGTTAAAAACAAGTCAATCGTTTCTTTCAGAGATTTAACTAATAAATAAATGTATTGAATGTTGCATTAAGGTGAACTATAAAATATGAAAAATGCAAGTAAACAATCTCTCATCATATTGCACCACGAATGCATGCATGCATGGTTGGCTCACCCAGGTTTCGTTCGTTATCATGGCCGCTGCTTGTAAGAAAACCGAGATCACTTCCAATCGTCAAAAGGAACGAGGAACTGCCTTCTCTAGCATGGTTGTCGTTTCGAACATCACCAGTGGATAATCCTTTAGATGCGCCTGCAACTGTGTTAATACAAAGATTTCCACGTTACAATGTGTCGACGATCCATCCATCAATCCGAGTAATCCCACTAAAACAATCTAAAACGATGGATCATCAAGATCTTTTTGGCACTTCCAGAGCAAAGAGAAGATGTGCTCACCCTTTCCTCTGACATTTCTACGAACCCAAGCTTGTCCTTCCATAGAGACTGGACTTCCTTGCTGGCAGGAACTATCAGGTGATCGACTTCCAAATGATACAGTACTCGCTCAACTAGGGAAAATAGAACTCGAAAGTATCCCTGCTCCACATGTAAAAGGGGTTATGTTAACCACTATCAGGAAAATATATGCTCAAACTCCTCAAAAAAGTTCATTTTATCACTCTCAATAGCCTCATGCGGAAGAATTATACTTCAGGATGACATAATTTAGTAATTGGTTTTGCCAGCCAAATGCTTACAGGTCACAAGAACTAGCCAGGAATTTTGAACTACTAGTTAATGTCTCTAAAGTCCCACTACCGAAAGTGATAATTCAAATTTCATGGCTCCATAGTGAGACCAAACTCAAATCAAAATATTTAATGTTCCTGTGTTTTGAAGATCTAAGTTGTAGTCAGTTTTTAGGAAGACTTGCATTTAGCTACTCCAAAAAAGGTTTTGGAGAAAAGGTGAGTGATGCTTCAGTTCCCGTTGTTGGTTAGAAAGGCCTCTAAGAGAATCCATATTTCTTGTTAATAATTAATTCATACAGTAATATGTTCTTGGAGAAGTCTCAGTTATTGGTCATCTAATAAATCTGAAAAAAAATTCAATTCAACATCTTTTAGATAAAACTATTTAAGTCCAACAAGCTATTTTCTCCTGTTTGTCCCTTAATGTAGGATACAATTTCTAGCAGAAACAAGCTTAAACATTTGCAAGACCTTTGGGCAGATCTCTAGCTTCAACTGAGCCAAAGTTTAAATGCAGGATATAATTTCTCACCTTTCCTCGGTATTTTTCATGGGTGACTACCAATGGAAGTTCTGCAACATTCCGACCGAATACCCTAAAAAGACCAGCTGATATGATGACTGACCTGAAATTTACCAAAAGTAATGATTAATTGCTGACAGAAGCTTTGGTGGTAACAAACATGAAGTAAGACTAAGACCATTATAAGAAAAAGGCAATTGCCGGTAGGTATTCTCTGCAACCAAAGTTCAATAACTACACAAATATAAGAAAAAGTTCAACCATTGTAAGAAAAAGGCAATTGCTGGTTTTCAGGTAGATTTTGCAGCAGAGCAGGCAATTTCACAGAATGAGAGTCAAAAACCAAAGTTCAATAACTACACAAATATAAAAAGGTAAATTCAAAGATAAAAGAAAGAGATTATTAGATGAGCAAGGTATATTACTTTACAGTTATAATTGTGCAATATACTCCTCCAAGCAGTTTGCCTGCCACATCTTCACTGCAAAAACTCAAGCATATTTACATCAAATGATCAAATACCCCAGAGCGAAGAGTATATATAATAAAACAGTAACTAAATGGGTGATACACATGACATCAAAGAATAGAGAGAGCAAGAACTCACGCGTGAACCATAGCAGATAGTAAGTCCTGGCCTCCTTCAACTATAGGATCAAATGCTTCCTGTTGTCAAAGAACTGATCAAATTGAAAAGTTGCTAAAACCCAAATATTGCCTGCATGTCATACGAAAGCATATATATGTATGCATGCATGCTAACTGTTAAATCCAACTACCAAATACTAGCAAGGAAACTCAATTTACTATATTATGGAAAGAAAGAAACCAAATTGGTCTAGATGTCTTCCTGATGGCCAATATGTTGACTTGAAATTCTGGAAACCAATTTCTCTTTCATGTGACTAAGATTTCAGTCTTTCAATATAACTCACGGGCTTACAAATGTATGGATATAGTTCATACAGAAGGGCTCTTGAAGTCCTTGGTATTTGGATTGGTGAGATTTCAAGGAGTTGGTTTTCTCAGGGTAGTCAGTCTTCTTTTTCACCAACCTTATCCTTAATCTCATAGTTGACTTTGAATTTAATCCTGCGTTCTACAATTTTATGGGCAATAAATGACACAGGTGAAAGTATGTCACCTTAAGTTTTAGCCCTTTGGCAAAATCAGTTCATAATGGAATATGTATATCTAGTAGCAGGACATTCAATACTGTCCAACAAACACTACATTTCTGAAAAATAAGAAGGTTTCCTATCCACTGTCATATAGTGAATAACAATGTAGCAGAAGTGAAACAATTTTGGTGCTCTCTGAATTGTTGTCAGCTTCCACATCATACCATTTCTTGCCACTCTTTCGGGGAGATGGCATAAAAGATCACAATGATGGCAAAGAGTATCAGTATCTCAGGGTCTTAACAGAGCTCTCCAGTCTCATAACTACATATTTTCTTACACCACAGGTTGGTGTTAAGGTTTGCTTTAAATACCAAATAAATTAAAACAGAAGTTCTATTGATATATCTGTGTTGTATTTCATCGTATAGTTTGAGATTTTTATAATCTGTGTGCCCACATCTGAGCCTTAATCCATGTTCCATAACATGTCAGGATGGAGAATTGCCAGTTCTTGCTACCCGTACACGCAATAAACGATTGTAGAACATAACACAACCAACACAAAAGAAAAATGTTAAGCAAGATAGAGCAACTTCCAAGGAAAATCAATCTAAACATTACCATAGGAAGACTTTTACCCAGGTTCAAGTTAATTTAATCCAAGTTTGAGTCCTATATGTGCCATGCTCAGATCCATCATGGTTGAGTATTAATACCAGGTGCTATTCAGCTTCCAAAAAATTATAAGCAAGTTAAGTTTACATCATGGTACATCCAAACATAAATGCTATGGTGTCTGTACTACTATGAACAGTAACCCCATGTAGGTTTCTTTTATTAGAGGCCCCATATTAATACCAATACAAGAAAGATACATTTCTGACTAGACACTTTTTTGTTTTAATTCTTCGGTAATCAGATCAGTGTAACTTTGTGGCCAACAAGCTGCTTTAGAAAACAGGCTGTCAGCTAGCTATTAGAAGATATTGTTGTATGTTCGATTTTAGCTAAACAAATTATGTTGTGTCACTGGCCAGTGGCCAAGTATCCAGATTTCCTGTTTTCTCTCTTCTATTCATGCAAATAGTGATTTTGTTTACTGAGACCGTGGATGACTTCTTTTGAGACAAATAAACTGGTTGAATTTCTTTCTGTTGGAAGCAACTTGTCCCTATAATTCTCTATTGTCGAACCCAAAATCCTCGGTTTTATATTCATTAATGTTATTTGCCTTATATTGAGAGATAAACCAGTGGTTTCTTATAACAAATTGGCAAATTCTTCATGACAAAAGCTACTAAGGGATGTACAAATAATCAAACAATTTCTACCTACCAATTTCAAGAACCAGGCATGTTTTAAGATAAAATTAAATTTCTTCATCTGACAGAGCAAAAGTACAATTTCGTTCCTATAATTCTCCATTGTCTACCACAAAATCCTCAGTCTTAGATACACTACTGTTGTTTGACTTATATTGAGAGATAAACCAGTGGCTTCTTATCCCAAATTCTTCGCGGCAAAAGCTACTAAGGGATGTACAAAGAAACAAACAATCTCTATCTACCGATTTCAAGAAAGCATGTTTTCAGATAAAACTGAATTTTTTTATCCAACAAAGCAAAGATACAACTTACATGAAAAAGTCCAATGATCTTATGAAACAGCAAATCATCTCTCACATATTTTCCACTTAAAATCTGCCAATGGATATCAGCTTCTCTGTCATCAGCAAATTCTCCAAGTGAACTGTTTCTCTTGAGCATACTCAATAGCCAGTAAGGCACAAAATTTTCTCCATTATTGACTAATTTTCGCAAAGAAGCATGGATTACATCACAATCTTCACAGCAAAACCAATTGCACTCCATTGGGACTTCCTGTAGCAAAGATTATTCAAAAAGAATGTCCATGCAACCCACCAAATATCAATTCTCATGTTACGTCAACAAAATCACTGAAATAGCCAAAAATAAGTCTGCCTTCACCTTTAGATCACAAACTCCATGATGCTTTAAGCAACCAATATGGTATTCTCTTTCACACTAGAAGAAGCAGTCATCAGATATTGGTATGAGCAATAATGTCAAAATAAGGAAAAGAAGAAAAACACATGACATACTTGCGCACAGAATATAATTGTTTTTGCATCAAAAACATTGAGAATGAAGGAGCTATCCCTGCATGTCACATGTTAAGAAAAAAATTAGAGTCTTACCAGTAATATTGCACAAGGTGCACAAGTCTCCACCTTGTTGTATGAAAGCAGAAATATTGTCAAGAAAGTCAATCTAGATGAAGATGCATACTTGCAGAGGGTGCAACAAAGAAGTTGATCTGTTTCAGCCTTAAGTATAAGTCTTGACCGGAGCTTATCTGAACTGATAGCACCTGAAGATGGAATTGCAGAACCAGATCTAACTCTGAGATCCATGCAACAGGAACAGTACCATCCACTATCAGGAACACTCTGTAGTTCCAAGCAAACTGTACATTTGTTGCAAGATAATGGTTTACAAATAAGCATGCAACAGATAGTGGCATCAAAGCTGCAGGATATTTCATCATTCCTTCACAAGTATTAAGCTCTTACAATCATTCTACTAAAATGATCTAAACATTCCAACAATAAGTTTTAATTTGTATGAGATTACATTACATAAAGGACAGAAAATGATTGTTGAAACCAGCATGGACTGAACAACTAAGCAGATTTGATTAGAATGAAAATTACATTATAGAAAATTGCTCAAAATTTTAGCCATGGTTTATAGTAATTTATACAATTAATTGATATGAATGGCATAGAATTCTCAGAAAACCTCTTTAAATTCACCTGTGTGAAAGGACTTAGTGCAACCATCACAGCTGACCAGTTCTCCACCAGTTCCACAAATTGTGCATGACATCTCACTGCAGCTCGAAGTCAAGGTCCGACTATTAAACAGAGCAATCGATAATTCATGCAGTGTTATCCCGTCAGAAGTATATATATGGCGGTAGCTGCATAGATACAGAAATTATATTAGGCCATGTAATTTAGATTTATTAGGCCAAATAATTTGGATTTTTTACTTTATGTCTTTCAGTAAGTAATAAACCAAAATAGAGGAAAGAAATTCAGACTTTACTCACGGTTGGCGCCTTTTATGGAATCCAGCATGAACTTCAAACTGCGAAGGGCTCATCTGATTACAAAATATGACATTAGGATTTTTCATTCAATCGGCAAGCTTCAGCATGATACAACATGGACAAATTTACCTCTACATTGCAGCAATCACATATTAAACCATTTCGAAATTTATAACCTGTTTTTATTTTCTGCAAAGGAAAAGACCTTTTACGATTGCAGAATGATGATCATCTCCAACAAGTCAATTAGCTCACCAAGTAACACATAAGCACACACAAAAATGCAAAAGGACTACCTCTCCCTTTACACAGTAAGCCAATTTAGATCCATTTGGAAGACCATTTTCCTTGAAAATCAATTGGTGCAAACTGCAATCCCTAAACAAAAAAAAAGGGGAAAAAAAAAAACTTGTAACATGAAGAAAGCCATAATTGATGAGCAATGCTGGAAGCAGATTCACTCTATCAGAGTAAATCACAAACCTTTGCTTTGAACCACCTTGAGCTGTAACATTAAGTTTCAGCTGGTTGCCATTGGAATTTGACAAATAAGGTAAATCTGGCAATGTCAACATCCTAAATAGTGCAAACAGAATAAAAGTATTAAGAAAAAAAAAAGCAAGTGTTTACATATCCAATTTCAAATTATTAAAAGTTGCACGTCAATGAGTTTTCTAAAAGCTCAGTAAAATGAAGTGATGATGAGCTATGAATTACAATAACATTTATATAGACCTTTTTGCCAACCGTGATTGATCATCCAAGATGCATAAGCTCTGTAACTGTTTAATACATGCATCATGTGCTGAGAGATCTGAATCTTTGCAAAGACTTGAAGATAAACCTGAGAAAAGATGAGCGCTTTCTTGAACAGCAGGCACTGATGAGCCAGGTTCTGTAAAGATAGTTGGAGCTGGATCAACATCATTTTCATTTGCTGGACCTGATGAGCTTTGATTCAAAGTGATCTCTGAAACTACATCAGTAGGTTGCGTTAATGAGAGTAGCTCATCCATGACTGGATCTGGATAATTTTGATCTTCTAAACCTGAATTTGAGGAGCAAACATTTGAAGCAACATTTGATGCCAGATGTGCACTTGCTTCTATAACTGTCTGAAAGGAACTAGTTTCCATGGTCATAATAGGATCTGATCCAAACTCATATTCAGCTGGCCTTAAAAAAATAGATTCCACAGTGAATCCTGGGGTTGTATGAGAAATTTCTTTAGCAAGCCCTAAGGGACTAGTCTTCATAGGAAGAACCGAATTAATGATGCCTACCATACCTAGCTGTGGGTAGATGGAATTTTCGTTAAGACTTGAAGCTACATGAGTAATTCCATTGCTGGGTGGCACTGGAAAGCTAGGCTTCATGCAAACATTTGGTGTTAGATCACCACTGTTTTCTGTAGATCCTAGTGATCTAAAATTGCTGATAAAATTTGAACCTATATGAGCATTGTCTTCTATAGTTGACCACAAGTATTTGGAACTTGGAGTGACACTTGAAACTAGTGAATGGCTGTATTCTTCCAGTGGTCTTGAAGAGTTCGACTTCATAGTGACATCCCGAGCTGAATTCGTGCCACTTCTTGCAGCTACCCCGAACAAGCTGCTCAAAAATTTAATCAGAACAATTTAAAGAACATAGGACAAAACAAACACTCAAGCATCATATAAATCAATAAAGTTCCATAAATTAAGTATATTGCAAACATGTTGCAGACGACACTCAAGTGTGAAAGCTATATTTCTTAAGTAGAAGCATTTCAGATTTCCTCTTTTTTGCAGTTCTCATTATTCAAAGGATCCACTAGAGGATGCTGCCACTGGTTAAGTAACTTAATTTGAACATCACAAAGAACAACTAATTATTTTGCTTAATATGATCAACATAGAATTCTCAAGACAAGTAGTAGTTAACCATATTTCAGGCAACAATTCACTGTATATTTATTGTTTGGATATTGTCAAACTTCCACATGGATTTTGTAACAATCTCTGTTTTACACCGAGTTCTTAAGACAAATTAAATTGATTGATGTTCTTTTCATGTAGTGTTTAGGGTCAAACCTGACCTGATATAAAATGCTAAACACAGAAAAGTCACATATTCAAATGCATAGGATAAAGGGGGGTCCATTTCTAGGAAAAGACACATTATTAGTTGAATTTAACTTAATTATACATTTTCATAGCAGTATCTTTCGCATTTTAAATGAATTACTCTTTTGCTAAACAATTACCAGTGAGTTATGATGGCAACTCACCCTTGAACTGAGTGATCTGCAGTACGAGTTTCCAGATGATTAAGTTGGGTCTCACCCACATCTTTGTTTGTTTCCTTCTGATTTATATTCACTTGAAATGATGCTGAAAACAAAGTGCACAAGTCTTAAGACCAAGAAACAAATGAGAAAATTAAACTCATGTATCTATAATAGAGATTAACCAACAAGAGGAATCAGGAAAAGTTTGAAGAAATATTTAACCTTTCCAATTCTCAAAATGCTCCTTATTGGGTTGAATTTGAAACTCTTTTTCTATCACTTTATCAAGTGAACCAAGCTTGATATGTCTATTCTTCAGATTTCTCACAAGCTTATATATACTTATCCCATTGTCCAAAAATATGTGATCATTTTGGTTTTTTGAAGTCACCCCAGCATGCTTCTCAAACTCAAGAGCAGAAAGTACCTAAATTTTAGTGTCATGTCTCAGAAAACAAAAGAATCACACACTTCACAATCTGTAAGTCTTTACAAGCTTCTAAGCAACTACTAAAAATAAATTGGGGGCGGTATTCTGGCAGTTGGGTCAGTGAATGCTCCATTTGTAATGTCAGATGATATCTAAATAATAAAGTTGGATATTTGAGAAATATAAGTTGTAAAATTGTACAATAAAGATACAGAACTGTGTTGTAGTCCAGTCACAAATGCAAAATACTATATATTGACAATATTTTCAGCTGGTTGTGTCTACAGAGGTCAACTGGCTGCTGAAAATGGTGTCTAAACTTACGGACTACCTAAATGCCCAGGTTTAATGCAGTGAAGATGGAAGGAAGCAGGTATTCATTCACAGGAGATTATGTGGCCAAATAGGTGGCTTTTTAAATCTATATATAATAAGATTATCAGAGTCAGCTGATAGTTTCTGATGAAAAGAATGAAAAAAATCAAGCAACTAACTTTGTTATAGTTACATGAGGAACAACCACACCGATACCCAGCAAAGCTTATAATTCCATGAATCTTTCCCTGCAAAAATGGCCAACTATTTTTGTGAAAAACAGAGCAGAAGATTGCAATAGAAGGGATAATATATCTTCTCTTCAGATGATAACAGCAACATATCTGACCTCATCCTTCTTGTATGTCACAGATAATCCATCTAGGACTCCAGTAGAAAGCAAACCTTTGACATCTGAAATGTAGGCGCTGGGTGTATGCTTTGAAATTTTTGTTTGCTGATTGCCGTTAGCCATGAAATAGGATCTCTCCTTCCTTTCTATATGCGCTCTAGATCGTATCACATCATGGTCCTTTGGATCTGCACGATCTGAAATTAACTCAGAAGAAGATTTGACTCCTCGTTTCTTGCTGGGAAAACCTAGATCACGGCAGCCAAGTGGGGAGCCATTCTTGAGGCCTCTTAAACTTGTTTATCAAAGTAGTGTAAGCATAAAATCTGTAATATATCGAATTAAGTACGGAAGTAATATTTTATGTCAGGATTGAAATCAAATAATTAGATCTGATTTACGATACGTAACTTTACCTTTTGATGCCATCTGAAAAGATCTCTGTTTGATCTATAAGGCACCGTCTTTAGATCCAAGATCAATACAATTTACAAAGGAAAAACTATATCCTTTCTCCTCTCTTCCTATCCATCACAGGATCACCTAGATTGATGATTAGGGAAAAGAGCGAAATACTGTAATCCATCTCTTGTATCGTATTGTCTTTAGTCCATAGAGTTCTTGTCGGCGAGAGTATAGTGTCTAGAATAAGTAATTAGGAGAGTCCATCAGGTTATCTCCTAAGGAATCAGGACTATGAGCCAAAATATTTAATCAGAATCCAATTAGTTATATTATAGATATCTTATCCAATTATAAAGAGCCACAAAATCTAATATTCTTCCACTTGACCTATTAATTGATAAGATATAAAAAAGATATTCTACCTAAAAATAAATAAAATAAAATTTATTTAAAAATAATTTTACCTAATTGGATTTCAAAGAATTTTGAAAAGCATTTTATACGTGACCATGAATTTTAAAACAAGCCAATAAGTCCAATAAATATAATATTACTATATTAAGTCTAACTATCAATGTGAGTCATAACGGTTGTATATCATCAATATTATACTCTCTTTTATATATCACAACATTATTAGTCTTTCCCAATATAGTATATAATAATCCCTATAATTTATCTTGTCAAGATAATCATGTTATTATATTCAACTATAATATACATAAACATAAATATAAGTGAGATAATAGAAATAAATAACTTTAATTAAACAATAAAAATATCAATAATAGCATCCATTAAACATGCATGTGTGAGTAAATGATGACTTAGGTTATATACAACGACTGCATGTCAATTATGATAAATTCTCTAACCACTCAACTATTCATATGGAGACCACAAGTCAAAGCTATTGCATGAGAAGAACTGAAGAAAAATGAGATATAATCATATGTGGGTTTATCTTTGGAGTGATGAGTTGCAAGAGTGAGATCCTCTCTTAGATTTGATTTATATTTGAATATTGATAGAGCTATTATTATTATCTTTTTATCAATTAGAAGAAGTGGTTCAGTTAGATCCAAAATCGATGGAACGAGAACTTTTGATATTAATTTTAGTAAAGTTGAAATAATCGATTCTGAAACCATATGATTTGGTCGAAATTTCTATCCAGTATTCCTGTGATGGGCGATCAATACTTCCAACTAATGGTGATGGCTAAACATGTGAACATCACATCATGCCTTCCTAATTCACATTCTAAATCACAAAAGTATGAGCCAACAAATTAGAACTTTATTGTTCTTTACTTACCAAAGACACGGTCGTTTGACTCCAATAATATAATGAATATATTTTAACATCAATTATAGTATGTCAGTTAGCTATCACGAAGAAACTGATGTGAAAAATATAAGATTCAGATCATCCCTCCATGACCAATAATGGGACGGTGACCTATTGACTACCGTAGATCACCACATAAGAGGTAGTGCGGGTCTATCGTCGAGGGACGGTGCCCCCCATGTGATCGAGCCGATCTGCACCCTTCCTTGGTCGGTCTCTATAAGCGATAGCCCATAAGGAGCTGCTCGAGTTAATCTTGTCGAATTTATGGTGCCTCTCATGCTATCGAGCTGACCTGTACCCTCTCTTGGTTGGCCCCTACAAGCGATAGCCCATAAGGAACCGCTTGAGTCAGTCTTGTTGGATGTTATGATTGGTAGATGACAACTCCTTCGTTGTCCTCTGTTGGTACCACATCAGTCGCAGTCGCGATTCCCCTCTACTAATTTTTCAAGTATAAAAATCAATTCTTGAAGTCTGAACGAGAATCTGACTTTGAACCTTATACTGTTTTAACCCTACATAGCTAATTTAAGCGTTCAAGAGATTGAGTTGAAAAATTCTTTTAACCTTATACTGTTTTAACCCGATTCCCGTTCTAACCCTGCCTTGGAGCGACCTTGGATGCTCGAAACCACTTCGAAACCGCTACAGCTAACTCCTACCCAACGCCAACGACTCGTACTCAACGCCAACGACCCTCTAACAGCGTACCAATTTTCGATCTAGGACATTAAGATGTTAACACAGCATTAAATATCGAATGCGTGAGAAGATAGTTCGGGAAGCATTTTAATATATTTGTTATGATCATCATAACACAAGTGATCATGATGTCTGAGTTGGGTATATCGGTGGAATTTACTCACTAAAGATAGATATCTACAAGCGTAGTCGATTGACTGCAAAGGATCCATGTGTAAAATTGCGTGAGGAATTCAATTCACCCAAAGGAAACGCCGTTAACTCCGCGTCGTTGCTCATTGTCGCCGTGGCTTCTTTTTAGTGGACGCACGTTGCTCTTTAGGGGAAAGCCGGTGACGACCGTCCGTTGCGCCGTTACTTTTGACATCAAGTATCCCTTGTCCTACTCGCAACACCTACTCGTGTGCTTATTGATAGGAATCTTTGGGCCCCAGGAGACCTCTTGGTCGTACGCGACGCGGGTACTGTTTGCAGCCGGTGGGTCTAGAGTTTCTGTCACAAGTAGTCCTCGGCACAATAAGCAAGGCCAAGAGCGAGACGGTTCTCATCCCTTTTGGGTTTGTGCTGTCCGCGAACCTCTGTTCTCAGACCACCCGTTTCTCTCTCCCTAGATTTTCTCCACCGATCTCTTCGCTGCAATCGCCGCCCCCTTAAGAATGGTATGTGATTCCTCCTGTTCTCGCTGCTCTGACGCCAGTTGTAGTAGATCCGTGTTCTATGATCATTTTAATGTAGCATTCTTGTTTCGATATTGTCCGATCTATGATCGACCGACTCGATTTCGCTTGGATGTGTTTCTGCTGTGATTTTGTACGGTCTTGTGCTTGCGGCGGTTTATGGATGGATCTGAGCGGATTATAATCGGTTTACGTTGTTGTCCATCTTTTATGCTGTTATCATTTAATTTCTGCGGTGATCCTTTGGAGCAAGTGATGGATCGATTTAATTTATGGATGGATTTCGTGCTGTATACTTTTTTCTTCGCTTCGTGGAAGGGTGCCCTGGTTGTTCTTAGGTGGGATTCATCATTTTTTTGGTGCAGATTTTTTTGGTAATTTATTTTCATCATATTTCAATCAAATTCACCAAAAAAAAAAGCCTGATACAAATATGTTTGCTTCGGCGTAATCTACCAATTTTACTTCCTGATGATATTAATTTATGCGTGCGAACCGTCTAGCACAGGCAAACGCGGCATCTGGAATGGCAGTCAACGACGACTGCAAGCTTAAATTCTTGGAATTGAAGGCGAAAAGAACTTATCGTTTCGTAATATTCAAGATCGACGAGAAGCAGAAGGAGGTCGTTGTGGAGAAGGTCGGCGAGCCCTCCTCGAGCTATGAGGATTTTGCTGCCAGCCTCCCTACCGATGAATGCAGATATGCTATATATGACTTTGATTTTGTGACTGAAGAGAACTTGCAAAAGAGTAAGATCTTTTTTATTGCATGGTAAGTTTTCTTTTGCACTTAAATGAAGAACTAGGCCTAATGTACTCGAGGTATTAACCTACCTCATATTTCACCTTCCTCATGTGAAGGTCCCCTGACTCCTCAAGAGTGAGAAGCAAGATGCTTTATGCAAGCTCCAAGGACAGATTCAAGAGGGAGTTGGATGGTATCCAGGTCGAACTGCAAGCAACTGATCCTACAGAGATGGGCCTCGATGTCTTTAGAAGCCGTGCAAATTGAGCATCTCCTGATAATTCAGAGGAAGTGTACCTCCTGCAAGCTAGTTGATCATAATGTTTATAGTTCCAAACATGGTGAATTCACTAGATACCATCTGGTCTTCTTTGCCTTCTTTATGCATCTTTCAATTTGGTACATCTTGCTGATCTGTTTCCCGGTTAGACCTATGACATAAGTTTCTACATGCAGCCTGATTTTTACAAGCTGATGGTGTGCTAGAATTTGTGGTTCTGCTGGTTTGACAGCATTCAAGCTTGTCTCGATAATTTTCTGTGGAAGCTTAAGTCAATTTATGGCCCCTCTTTTTGCTGATTCCACATCGATTCTTGAGTTTTCCCGCATTGATTTTTCTGATGTTCCTTCCAAGTATCTTTTGCATTGTTTCATTTACTAGACTATGTAGAAGAAGCTTTTATTCTAGTGGATTTTCCTGCACTTGCTTGAAAATTTGTATGAAATTGAAACATTAAATGACATGTTAATGGTATTATTAAGATAGATGTCTATGTTTTCTTTAAACTGTTTAACTCAGTTAAAGAATGATTTCATTCTGACAGCCATTTGAGGTTTATGTTTTCTTCTTTCTATGGTATTGGTAGTTTTGATCGAAAGAGGGGTATCAAGTTGCAGATTTGCCAAATGCAATCGGTAGCATAGGTAATCATGTCCTTTAATTAGCATGAGCGTCAGATTGTTGGAGAACATAATGGATTTGGTGCTGATTCAGTAAAACATAACCATTAATGTGTCATTCAGGCTAGACTTTTGCATTTGATTACCCTTCTTGTAAGGGAAGTTAGAAAGTCCATTGCTCTTTGGTGACATTGGATGGTGGAGTTGCCTAACCAGCCTTGTGAAATGGAATGCCAAAAAAGTTAATTGAATATGATCAAAGCCCTGCCAGGAAGAATCTGTCTAAATAATGAGAAGGTGCTGATCATGATGCATCAAGTAGTGCAAGTGAAATGAGAGTGTTGTTTATGACCTAAATCAAAATATGAACTCGCGAAGCACTTGATGTTGGATTGGCGCATCCAAGGGACGGATGTCATTTCCAGTCAGATGTGCTGATTCTTATCTGATATAGGGTTGGATCGAGGATAAGATCATTTCTAAGTGATTCGTGGAGAATTCCTGTTCTTTCTCTTCTTTTTGGCCTGGTTGAGTAATGTGTGGTGGACACTCTGAGGTGATCTTTAGATGGTCTCTCCTCTCGTTCTATGTTCGCCATTACCCAGCTTCATCTTTGCCAAACCATTCCTCGGTACCGACCACACCACCACAAGTGAAGGAATTCCATAGGCAACGCGATATGGCTTTAAAATTCTTTCCCTTGTGACCAGCAGACATTCTCAGTGTCTTAACATAATCTCTAGTATAGCTTTATATAAAAAAAACATTTTTTCCTGATGAAAATTTCTAGTAGATTATAAAAAATACCATATAGTCAGTAAGAAATAGTTGGCTCTTATAAGCATTTAAATTACTTCATATAAGAAATAGTTGGCTTGTACATGTTAGTGATAAATGGAGTCATAAGCACGTCAAGTGGAGTCTTTTGTGTTCAGCGTCAAGTATATAATTTTTTGTTTTTATTCGTGGCGTGTTACGTTGTTAGAAAATACGGTAAAAAATAATTTCACTACAAAAATCCTTTTATTCGAAATAAAAAAGGTGTCGAGCAGCGGTGGGATGTGGCTGCTAAGTCACAGGAATCGAGCCCATCTTACTAGCGTGATTTCCCCGCGCACAACTCCTACCACCTACCCATCGGCCACGTCGTCCATCCGGACCGAAACCATCATCCAATAACAAGGCTCCACGCTCTCACCGAACCTCTCCCTCAACCATTATCAGCCGTCCATCACGCTACGTACAAACGACGCGATCTCTTCCACGTCATCTATCCGGAACCACTACATGATGCCCAATCGAAACCCAGAGACTTTCTCTTTAAATGCCGATGGTCAGGTTCCTCGAACCACATCCCCTTCTTCCTGCCTCTCCGAAGTCTTCCCTCGCCTCTCTCATCCCTCTGCTGCCCGATCGCGATCCCGATGGCGCCCAAAGCTGAGAAGAAGCCGGCGGAGAAGAAGCCTGCTGCTGCTGAGAAGCCGGCCGAGGAAAAGGAGAAGAAGTCCGTGGCCGAGAAGGCTCCGGCGGAGAAGAAGCCAAAGGCCGGGAAGCGCCTCCCCTCCAAGGACGGCGCTGCCTCTGCCGGCGACAAGAAGAAGAAGAAGATGAAGAAGGGGACCGAGACCTACAAGATCTACATCTTTAAGGTGCTCAAGCAGGTCCACCCGGACATCGGCATCTCCAGCAAGGCCATGTCCATTATGAACTCCTTCATCAACGACATCTTTGAGAAGCTCGCTCAGGAGGCCTCTCGCCTCGCCCGCTACAACAAGAAGCCCACCATCACCTCTCGCGAGATCCAGACCTCCGTCCGACTCGTCCTCCCCGGTGAGCTTGCCAAGCACGCGGTCTCTGAGGGCACCAAGGCTGTCACTAAGTTTACCAGCTCTTGAACGGTTATCGACTCGGTCTTGACTGGATCTTGGCAGATCTGGGAACCTGGGGTTTCATCTTGAACCTTGCTGCTTTTAATTTAGCCTTTTATTCTGGTGGAAGACGGTTGCTGTTATGTAATATACTAATTTCTGCTGGTGGAAAAATGGCAACTAGATTGTCTTTCAATTAGCAGTGTTCGTTGGCTCTTGTTTTGATGTTTGATAATGGATAGATTATGCATATTTCCGCTGCCGTTTAGCAGAAACTTTGTCTGGATTTAAGCATTGTAAGTTTGTTCCTGTTTGTGAAATTTTGTGGTGGTCTACTTGATAGTTAACTATTTTCATGTGGTAGAAGGATGATAACTTGTCATGCGCATGCAACTGATTTGAGATGTCAGATTGAAGATGTTCCCCTGTTGGACTGTCTTAGTTTACATCGAACATGGTTGAGGTTTTGTTTTGATGGATGTTGGAAGTTCTTTATTTTTCATATGCAGTAGCCAATTATTGTAGTCTTGCATTGATTATACCCTCTTGTTCATGTATAAATATGTGGATTTTGATTCTCTTTTGCTATCTCTTTTTTGCACCTGAATTTGTTTCTCTTTTTAGTTTGTGTAAGTCATCAACGTACCTTTTGTCTGATGAACTGTGTATATGTATCTTCTTTTTGTATATGCTATGCCTAATTGATTCATGCAGTATGTTGATTACCATATTGGTGAGGATCCTGATGACATTTGTATATGGGCCTCCATTTATTAGCAGGATGTTTTATAAGTATCTCCTCAAGTTAAAGGAGGTTTGTTATTCTTTTATATTTGAGTCCGCAAATTAATATTTCTTTGCAGAGGCAACATAATGACAATACTTCATTCTGATTTATATGATGCCTACTATCTGCCTTATGTGCTATACTGATTAACTTGCATAGAACTTTACTTCATATATAAATGTAATGTTTCCTTGGTGATGTGTGTGTGTATGCTCAGCATTTGGCTGGCAATATGTGCAAATTACATTTAGTTCCTGCTAGTTTGGCTTTTGAGTTGAATCGTATGATAATGCATCTATGGGGAATATTCGAGTAGTATAAACTCCCTTCATCGTATTTCTTGTGAATTTATTCTGATCTACTATTCTACTCACTCTTGGATTCTCCCTTTGAAGGACAAAAATGTTATGTTGCTTGGTATTTGTTTTATCTGCTATAGCTTTCATATATATTCTTGCATTAGGGTTAATTTTGTCAACCGATTGGCTTGCATGTCATTCCAATCTTTAAGCAATTTTATTCATCATGACCATTTTACATATGAATAGTCCAAGTGAACTTGATTTCTGGTAGTATGAATACTTTGTTTGAAGGATCCAATATTAGGATTATATGCCATCAGATTTATAGAATTTCTTATTGCAATATGTTTCTTGGTATGTTGACAAGTGTGCAGTAGCCTTTTTCATTCCAGGTTTCTGAGTTTTAATGAAGGTATGTTTTAAATTAATCGAGTTATTTAATGTTCGACTCTACTAGTTTAAGCTTGATTATTAGCACTAATTTCAAATAGCCATTGAAGGATCTGATGATGATATTGGGTTTGGCATACTGTGTCGCATGGTAGGTGGTTTGTGATCATGGTATTTGATCGGCAGCTCATGTTGGTGTTTTTGATTGGTGATTTATTTACTTGTTACATTGTATTTATTGTGCGTCGATTATTGGAATTCTTAGTAACGTGGAACATGTTCGGTTGCATTTGGGTTTTGTTGTCTTTTAAATAAGGTTTTGGAGAATGTCCAACATAACATGTTATATTATTTTCAGGCTCATACTCATATCATTTACAACAGATATTTGAACTTTGTTTACCGCATAGTTTCTTTACATGGCATGATTCTTCGTGAATGTTAAATTTGCAGTCACAGAGCATATTGGGGATTCCAAATGCTTCGCATCTGATTGCTCCTTCTCCTTTGATGCAATGCCTTCTCTCAGCATAAGGCAGTTCGTGCGGTGCAGTAGGATGGTTGAGAATATGGAGATGGATCCATATTATTGTTTGGATCCTTTTTTATTTCCAACTTTACAGTTGCTAACTATTATTTAAAGCTTGGGAGGCATTTATCTCACAGTGGTCATCGAGGTTAATTCGTCAATGCTATTATGCTGCTTCCCCGGTATCTAAAGGTTCCTACGGAATCAGCATCACACACATCAAAATATGATATATGTACATGTATACAGCATTGCTTTTTCCCGTGGATAAAAAGATTTAGTGGTAGTTTATAGCAAGATTTATCATATCGATATATTGATTATGACATATTTCAGTATCATCCACATGGTAGCAGTTGGCGATCAGGATAGTGCCAACAAAGGAGCTTCAGACTGATATGATGTGACATCTCGGACCCAAACGGGGTGACTACACGCTCTCGCGCTGTACAAGTCAATGTCGAACATCGTAGAGCCGATCTAGAAAGCTCGGAACATTGTTACGACGTGGGCCCATACAAGTCGGTGTCGAACATCGCAGAGCCGTTTTGGAGAACTCGAAACGACGCTATACGATGTAAATTCATACAGGTCGGTTAGCGCTTGTGCGCAAGGTACAAGTTAGTTGTCCGAGAAGTCAGTAATTATTAACGGACTGTGTACGGTCGACCCTCCTTTCGCAAGTATAAAAGTTAATCCCTTGACCAATGCCAAGAGAAGGACTTCGAGCATTCAACTCCCTTTTACTTCACTCGACACTAACTTAAGCTTCGGAGTGGTCGAGTCGAAAATTTTTCCTCCCTATCTTGACCTACGTGCAGGAGCCTAGCGACGAAGAAGCAAGCCACTTGCCAAGAGAGAAAACCGTACTTAGGAGACGAGGCTCAAACCTAATCCGACTCGACGCTTGCTTACACCACCCAAGTATGTGTGGGCAATTTTACGCATCCGGGATTGGATCGAATCGTGTTGACACATCAATCACGATGTAAAGATTCACCAACAATCGATACGATATGTATCAAGCTATATCGAATATATCGATATATCATTGTACGTCCCATATAAACCGTCCATATCGAGCGGTTTATAGATAGATTGATATTAATGTTTTCATGTGCTAAGCGCCAATTCTCTATTTAGCTGGGTGTATCCGGTTAGTTGGGTGTATCGTAGGTGTCGACCGAGTGTATACGGTCAGCCGGGTGTATCATAGGTGTCGACGATATCCACCACCGCGGATTCAGCGTCGACAACCACGGACACCGGCGTCTCCTCGGAATGGACCATGTCGTGCTGCTGGATCACCAGCACCGATGAGGCGATTCCGTGGCTCGACGAGGCCAGCATGTCGCCGACGGGCCCCAACTCCGGATGCTCTGCTGGCTGTTCGGCGATTTCCGCCACCATCGACGTCGGGAACCGCCCCTTCCCCACCACCACCAGCTCGAACTCCCCGCTCTTCCCAATCTTCAGGACTGCCTCTATCACGTTCCCTGCCGGCCTTTTCTCGTACCTCGCTGTCCCCCCCTCCGTCTTTTTCTGGAATGCTGCCACGGCCGCCTCGTCCATTTCCTGCAACGGCAAAGATTAATTCCTCGACGAATCCGTAGTTCGCGCGTGCGTAAAGATGGAATCCGATCCATGGAGAAGGCTAACCTTTTCTCGCTGGCGGTCCATGACGGCGGTGGAGAAGGTATAGCTCTCGTCGGCGTTCTTCAGTGGCGACGGCCTAAGAGTGACGCTGGGCCGCTCCACGTCGCCCTTCTTCTCGGGCACGAATCTCACTGCGGTGACCCGCACGCCAGGGTGCTGCGCCATCCTCCCGGCGAGCTCCAACGCCTCCCGGTCGTCGGGCCCGCCGAAGAAGACGACGCAGATCTCGCGCGCGGCCTCGGCCGACCCCACCTGTCTTCCGCCGCTGAAGCCCCGGTCCACGAGTACGGCAACGGAGCAAGGGGCCTCCCTCATGACCCTCTGGTTGACAGCTCGCCGACCGGGCCCGGCATTCTCCACGGCGCCGTCGCGGCGGTGCTGGTGCTTGTGGAAAGGGACGATGAGGAGGGTGACGCGCTTCTGCTCAGCGACGTCGCGGACGTCCTCGTGCATGGCGGCCATGGAGGAGACGGTGGTCGTGGAGCGGACGTGGACGCGGCCGAGCCGGCCGTAGGCGTCGAAGGCGAGGGCGACCTGGTCCCGGGCCTCCCGGGGGAGGCGGAATGGGAGGCCACTGCGGCGGGCCATGACGATGGAGGAGGGGCGGTCGGTGAGCTCGACGAGGTTTAGCACGTAAAGCTTGAGGGGGCACCGGTTGGTGTCGGCGCCACGAATGGTGTCGAGGAGGCTGGTGAGGGAGGGGTGGTCACGGGGGCTGTGGACGCAAGCAAGCACACGGAGCTCCTTGGGATCGGGGACGGAGGAGGAGGCGGAGCGGTGAAGCTTGCGATGTTCATGGGTGTAGCGTCCGGCGCGGGCGGGCTTGTAGATGGCCATGACGCTGGGGGTAGTGATGAAGGTAGTGAAGAGCGCCATCAGAACCATGATGGCGAAAACTTCATCGTTGAGCACCTGCACGCGCCACAGCGTTCTCCATCTGTTAGATTTCATCCCAAGATGGGACAACAGAGAACTACAGTGATTGGAAATATGCGATCCGATAGGTGTTCGATTCCGTGCAGCCGAAGTATATATATATTTATATATACACAGCTGTTTTTAAATAAAATGATTTTTTTTTAATTTTCAAAAACCTATCTTTCTGGAGACAAAAAAAAGTCAGTCAAACTACAGCGTGTAATTTTCTCAAACACCGAGTGGGTGTTGTGTGAACCACGGCGTTGCCTTTTCAACCGTTGCTAACATCACGAAAACATGGTTTTCCCCTCCCGTCACCGTAACCCGACGACTACAGCAGAAAGGGAAAAACCAGACGTGAAGGAACAGGGAAGTTTGTGCACCTTTCTTTCTCTGCCGATGTTGAGAACGATGAGCTCGACCAGGCCCTTGGTGTTCATGAGCACCCCCAGCGTAATCGCCTCCCTCGCTTCCATTCTGCACGCCATGGCAGCCACGAATGTCCCAACTATTTTCCCCATGCACGCGGTGCATATCACCAGAGCTAGAATCCCCCACGATGTTGCGTCTTTGATGCTTGCCACGTTCGTCTTCAGCCCGCTTGATGCGAAGTACAGCGGCAGCAGCAGTACCGACACGAAGTCCTCGATCCTCTCCGTTAGTCTCCTGGCGAAGTCGCCCTCCTTTGGCACCGTGAGGCCGAAGATGAACGCCCCGAAGATGGAGTGGATGCCGATGAAGTCCGTGAAGAATCCTGACACGAGAACTCCGGCGAGAGTGAGGGCGACCCAAACCTCGCTCTCCCCTCCTCCGCTCTCGGTCCTTCTCGCCGCCCACGCCATCGCGGGCCTCACTACCACCATCTGTATGGACACGAACACGAGGCCGGTGAGGAGGACCCAGATTGACACCATCGGACTCCGGTGGCTCCCGCTGCTGCTGCTGCCCGAGATGGCGACGGCTAGAGCGAGGAGGACCCACGCGGCGAGGTCGTTGAAGGCCGCGGCCGCCATGGCGGTCTCCCCGAGCTGGGTGTTGAGCAGCCTGAGCTCGGCGAGGATGCGCGCGAGGACGGGGAAAGCCGTGATAGACAGCGCAACACCCATGAAGACGAGGAAGGCGCCATACCCGGCCTCGTCGGCGCCGGAAACGACATGGCGGATGACGAAGGCTACGCCGACGCCGCAGGCGAAGGGGAGCGAGATGCCGGCGGCGGCGATGGAGAAGGCGCGACGGCCGCTGCTGCGGATAGAGTGGAGGTCGAGCTCGAGCCCGACCAAGAAGAGGAAGAATAGGAGGCCGATGCTCGCCACGGTCTCGAGGATAGGCTCGCTCCACGCGGGGAAGACATTGTGCAAGTACGTCTTGTTGCGGCCGAGGGCTGAAGGGCCCAGCAGAACCCCACCCTGCCATAACATCCAGCTCAAGAACGTCAAGGGATCCCTGCAATCGCCGTGTGTGAGAGATTCATATGCAGAGTTGGACACTTACGATGATTTCGGCTATGACTTTGGGCTGCCGCAAGGGTTTGAGGAGGAAGGAGAGGGAGCGGCTGACGAGGAGGACGATGGTGGTCTGGACTATGAGCAGAGGGAAGGCGAAGTGGAGGGGGTTGTCGCCCTGCCACACTCCGTTCGACGAGGTCTTGATGGCAGTAATATTGACCGCCATCGCACAGAGTATAACGGCAGGAGGAGTGCTCTATTTATAGCCAGGCGAGAGGATAAAATAATTTATTTTATTTTTCCTCACATCATATGCTACACTGATAGAAAACGCTTGAACTGACATCATATATTGGATTGACACCAAATCTGTAGGTAAAGTATTCATTTCAATTTTTTTTTTATTTTACCCAAATTAAATTTCATCAGTTGACTCTAATTCTGGAGCAATATGAGAGTCTTAATGGTCCCTACAGTTCCATTACAACGAGTTTTCGTAAAGTGTTTTTTTGAAACTTCGTCTTATCTGTCTTTCAGCACACCTCGAGGAATTCCGTGTACGAGTCAACATTTGCCGAAATTTGAATAGTGATATAATCTTTAAGAGTAATCATCTCTACATTCTCTTATCTCATGTTAGAGTCTTCGATGAGATAAGGTACATGTATTCTAAAACTCTTTTCGACTTGGATACTATATAAGAATTTTTCAACATCTTTCTCATTTGAAGTCACTAATCTTTCAAAATTATCATTCATTGATCTTTACCACCTTAGCGTCCATATGAAGTTAAATTCTACGGAGATTCTCTAGTCAATTCTAAATATTTGGACAGTAATGTTAACCTAACGTGTATGAAAATTCCACTGTTTGCATTTTCCATCCATCGAGGAGGAGAAAATGAAAGACAATGTGCTTATTTTTTATAAATTTCTTTAATTTTCTGTGTCAGAAAACTTGCCGACATCATACAGCAATGGCCTAAAACACGAAGACTTGACTTATTAAGAGATGCGAGGAAGTCTTCTTCTCATTTTATGGACATAGTTCCCCTACTACGTCTTTGTCTTATCTCTCTTTTAGCGCACCTCAAGGAATTCCGAGCACGGGTTAACATGCGCAGAAAATTCAAAGCCTTTGAAAGATGATATAAAAACAAAAAGAAAAAACCAAGAATGCTTCTATCACTCCACTTCCCAAACCCTTCAGGGAATTAATGCAAACAAAACTATCTAAGATATAGCATGAAATCATCCTAATCGCTACAGGAAATTTTCAACGCAATTAATATTAATTCTTAATAGCTTAATTCTATTCATCAAAAAGCTTCGCCGAATGCATGACGAAGTGGAGTCATATATATATATATATATATATATATATATATATATATATATATTCTCTTTTTAACAAACCTTACTGTCTTCGAAACCTCGAGGAGCGAAGAGACTTTGATCGAACCCCCTCTCTGTCGCTGTCTCTCTCCCCCAAGAATCCTTCCCACGCCGATCCCAGCCTATGATCGCGTGGTGACGGCAGCGGCGAATCCATCGATGACGACAACGGCCTTGGACATGTCTTCCCATGACATCATCAAGAAGACGCGAAGACTTGTGGGGCTATGGAGGGTGATCTCGCGTTTGTGGAATGGGTCCCGATGACAACATGAGGAAGACGAGAAGTCTTACGCCGGTTGCGGGGCCTTGGAGGGTGATCTAGCGGTGCCGGTCCATTCTCCGGTTGCGAACCCGCTCTTGGAATGGGTCCGCCTTTTACTTGGATGGCGAAAGTACCGATGATCTGCTTCCAGTCTGGTCCCTCGCGACATGTCCGATCGAACCCTCATCGATTCTTGGGGGCTTTTAACACGGTGTGGCAGCAGGAGATCTTCTCGGATCAGATTGGTTGCTATTCCACTTCGGCGACTAGGGTTTCTCAAGGCAATCTTTCTTTTCGTTCCTGCATAATCTTTCTTGCCCTTCGTCGTCGTAGAAAGATTATGATCTAATTAAATTTCTTTGTGCTCTTCCTTTAAATTAGATTAAAGTTTTAAAGATTCCAGACAAGATTTATCTAATGTCGTAATCATTTTTGGTTGCACTGCTTGACAGAGATCTGGTTCTTTGGAACTGATGTCTTGTGTATATAAACCAAGTTTGTGACCATAAAATCTTTAGTGCCAGTTTTGTAGGAGGACAACATTTGACATTTTATGCCCGACTAGTTGAAGACTACTCGAGGAAGTATCAAGAAATAGGTTAATTGAAAAGGGTGGGACAAGAGATCTCGAGTTACAAACAGGATTTCTCCTCCAATTCGAGGTACTAGAACAGGTGATGGATCTGATTATTTTTAGAAATGCATTGTCGAAATCACACGGCAGATCTCTCTGTGGTTATTTTGTGGTTTAGTCCTACTGGTTCTGCCAATCCTGTAAATTCCTCCAAGAGTATGGATTTTTAGGTTAGGTTGTGCCAATCTATATCTGAATGACAGTGTGTTCTTGCTAATTCGTCAAATTATGATGGAAAAGGTTTATATGTGTGGATGAATAGCCATGAAATGTGGTCTTGGAATATGATTTATTTTTGGAGTGTCTGCTTTCAACCTGAATTTTATCTTTGCCTCAGAAAGTTCAGTGTCATATTCTGAACTCGAGAAAATCCATGCCCGTTTCAGATTAGTAGGAGATGTAGCATCATCGGAAGTAGATGTCCTGCATGTTGTCCACTGTCGCAAATGCTCCTCAAGCAATAAGTGTGTGTATTCTAAACTGAAAGCGTATTTAAACCATCTGAATGTTAGATCCGATTTCAATTTCTCAGTAGGACATGCTATTGAATCATTATATGGTTAATCATATCACTTAGTATATATTTCAAAGGGATCATTGCAAATTGAAATCTTTCTCAGGCATTAGAATTATGCAAATATGACAGAATTAGGTGTAATCTACCTTAAAAGATAGGTGATACAAAATGGATTCTGGTGGTCAGTTTCATCCTTGAGTTGATTATCCTCTCTTACAATGTCTTGGTGTTGGAGGAAAATCATCCTTTGGAGTTTCTTTTTGGTTTTCTTTTTTCTTATTGTTTTGGTTAACGTGGATTAAGAGATCAGATTTTGACTAAAAAGGAATTGGAACTTATTTGAAAAGAATGAAATATAGAAAAAATTTGAAAATAAAAAAAGATATCAGAAGAATTCTCAAGTTAAAAAATATAAATAAAAAACTAATAAAGGGCATTAATCGAAGATAGTAGTCATTCCATTGGACTTATGATTTGTCTCAAAAACAATATTTAGAATATTTTATCTATTATATAATTTTTCTTTGATTTTTATTTTTTTTATGAAATATATGTTTGTAGTTACTAAAGTCAAATAGTTAAATTTTTTACTTAAATTTTTAAATATTTATTCTTGTGATTTTTTAGATCTATTTATCAAATTAAATTTTGTTACTTGTAAAATTTTTAAGTATATTAATTTTTTAGCTTTTAACATCGAAGCCAACCACTTGGTACTTTTAGTTAATTGTCCAATGATGTGATACTACATAAATTTCTCATTATATATAGTCTAAATAAATTTATTAGCCAATATCCAGTTTATGTATACTTCATGCTATAAAATATACTCAACTATCAGTTCAGTCATATCTACCAAGTAGCAGATAAATGGGCCTTGTAATTGACTAGGTCACTAGGCTACATAAAGTGTTATACAATGGCCTCTTATACTATTTTTTTTGTCTTTTTTAGATTTATTTGGTATAAAATTTCTACTTTATCATGGTTAACATCCTGTACATTCTCTTTTCATGTGAATTCTTTGATTTCTTTACCACAACATAATGGATCTAGGTCAAATGTTTTGTCTTTGAGACTAGTTTTTCAATTGAAATTGACAAAAAATAGAAAAATTGCAGATTGGATTTTGAGGAGATTATGTGCATGTAACTTATCTCACGGTTCATGGTTGAGAGTATTTCTGCGATTCTAACTCATGATGCAAGGATATTAATATCAGTTTTATATCTATTGGTTTTGGATCTCTACAAATTCCTATATTTAGATTTATTTTCCTCAATAATGAATGAAAATACGTTTCTAAGATCTAATATTAGTCATATGTCAAGAACACATGCATATAGGCTTCCATAATGGGATGTATTTGGTTCATGATACATGAACAAATCTATAACTCAAAAAATTATAAATATATAGACTTAAAGAAGTTTTAAGTTATACCGTATTAGTGGCTGTTATGTCAAAATGATGGTCGTGTCTGATTAGGACGTGGGTTAGATCTGCAAAGCTAGTTAGTTGGAGGTCAATATTATAATATTGATACATCCATACGTGATACTGTTCTTACAACATATAATATTGATTTGCAGTTTGCCATTGTTGAATCAGAAGCAATATAGGTGACATTTTGGTCATCTGGGCTAATTGGGTTTAAACCGCTATCTCGACATTGTGGCAAGTATGACCGTGAGAACTAGGGATAGTAACTTGATATTGAGTTTTGCAACCATGATGGTTGTTGGGTAGTAGAATTGCCGTCATTACATTATTGTTGCGAGCCATATGACTCTTTAGATTCTATAAGCTGAAATCAATCATCTGCATCTTTTTATGACCATGGAATTCACACTACTAGGAAGGCTATGATGGATTATTTTGACCATGGAATTCACACTAATAAGAAGGCTATGACTTTGAGGATATCTTGTCTAATTAATTTCAGTTAGGCTCTTTCATCTTGAAGCCATCAACCATCTTTCCTGTGCCTGTCTTTCCTGATATGAACTTATTTAGTTAGATGATCTAACACCATGATGGTCATCCTGGATGGAGTGAGTAAAATACTAACACCAGTTCATGCTCTACATCTCCATGTACAATGTACATGTATTGGAGTGTAAGATCCATGATATAGACCACTATCATTGGTGGATGCCATAATATCTACCTTATTGTCACTCAAATCTTATGGAGACAAGTATATGATACAAAAGTCTATGGGTTTAAAGGGGTAGGAATGAGCAGTATGCTTATCGCTTGGTACAACTTGGTGTGCCGAATAGAACTGGATTGTATGCCTGATATGGTAAACATTCTAGGTGGTACGAACAGGTACTGTGTTATAGCTTGGTCCATGTAATGGTTCAGTTAGTTATATTGTAATATATTGGTCAATATGGATTGGTTTGATTGACTTGCTGTTACCTTATATATTTTGATGAGGAACCTTACAACTAGCCAAGCCCATCTTCCAGGCGGCAGAGCCATCTCAATTATATTATAATATAGCAAGCTAAAGAGAGGTTCTGTATAATGTTGGTATATGAATTGATTTTTCTTAAATGGGACATCGAGTTCTAGCTGCCTTTGCTGGAAAATTCTGCTACTAGTGAAGGTACGAAGAGATGAGAACAGGTATGGTTGCTTTATGAGTTACTTAGAACTAATTTTGAAGAGTTCTGTTCATGTCAAAGCAGTCTGACCTTAATGTAACCTTTGGTAACAAAGGTATAGGCTAACAAATTTGCTGCCAAGTATCACAGCTTTTGGTAGTTGTTCGTAACATTGTAAAGTTTGGATGCATGTAAGACTTATTCTGTGTCAATAATAATGGTGAAGGGTCATGCCTACTGGGTGTATGTATCATGTACTTGAGCATTTTAGTATTCACATTCTTAATTCTGTGGATAAGACATTAAAGTTATATAAGTACAGTGTCATTTTACGTTTGGATTACCTATTTAGTTTGGTCAGTTCACAAGATGTCAAACTCTTTTGATAGCCTATGCAAAAATATGAAGCTGAAATTATTTTTACTTCTCATGGACATAATGAATAACAACTCTGATTAGGGCTCTCAATTTTTGAGGTGGCTGAGATCCACAGGAGGCTTAAAGTTTATTGGTTTCTGAAGATTTTTTTTGTTTTTTTTTGAATTGGTAAGCAATTAATTGTTTCGATAGCATATTCAAAATCGTATCAGCTATCCAATATTTGTTCACTGTTGACTTGGGTTCAAAGTGAGGGAGAACATATATACTGAGAAATTTAAAAGTCAAAAGTCTTTCCTGATGTTATTGAAACTTGCAACTGTTAAAATATGTTGTGCCAATTAAGTCTTGGTGACTGGAGCCTGGACATGTTAAATCTAAAGGGAGTCCGTGCCACCTTCGGCACTGGTCTCACTATTGTCATGACAATCGAATCTAGTACAGCTGGGTCATCCTGTTCGTACATCATATTTTTTATTCAGTATATTTTTCCTCCTGAATTTTACATTCTAAATGTGCCATGCCATCTTCTTCTGCTTGTTGACAGGTCGCCGGTTGAATTTTTATGTAAATCACATACATCCATGGTTTTTGTCGATGAAGTATGAGAAGTTTCTTTGGTACTTTTGGGCTTCGGTAATTATGAAAATCTTTAATTTTCGAAGCCGAACCAATTTTCCGGGGAAGGCGTCTCTGCGACATTTTTCCAGAACTGTGTTGCTTTTTAGCGTCATTCGTCATTTTAAACATTACTATCAAAGATTGAGCTGAAAGGCGGTGAGGAGTTTTTCTCCCTAGCATGTGTCGTCACCAAACAGAACACAAATGTTGTCTTTGCTGTTGCATTAGACATCCTTTTTAATTCCTGCTAAAATGCTCTGATTGTTGAGGCCCAGTTTAAATAAATCCAGCTCCCCTTTTACCAGATGTTGACTACGTACAGAGTTCACAACGTGTATAAAAGGGATAAAAACCAACGTTAAGCAAATAAACATTAAATCGATCTCACTGCCACCGCATGAAAACATTGCGATAAACCAACAGAACGACAAAGAAAAAAAGGGGGCAAAAAAAAAAAATACAGACGACAATAAATCCTTGCGGCGTGACACTAGGAATCTTTTGATTTTCTCATGTTCTCCCAACTTGAGCCAATTATCCTAAGTATGTAGAATACAACAGTTCTGACGCAAGTCATGATGAAGTTCCAACAAGAAGAAGGCCAGTACCAAGGATAAAGCAACCGAAAGAAGAGGCTTATGATGTGCCGTGGATACTGCCCAACCTATGCCATGAGAAAATTAGAATACAGTTATAAAACCCAAAAAAATAAAATAAAAGGGGGCAAACAAGAAAAGGGAACAAATTCAAGTTATCTCTAAGCATTCTATCATCTGCATGAAAAATAAATGTAAGACATGTTGAGACAAAATCTCCATTAACGATGGGAGTAAACACACACATGAGAACGATCTCAGGTCCATTGCAATTGCAACAAAAACGTAACCACACACATGAGAAAAAAGCTTTATTTGCTATTTCTATTTATCAAAGCCGTCGCAGATAGATAGATACCCAAAAGGCAATAAAGGTACAAAGAATATCAGCAGTCTAATATCGGGAGGTTTTCATCTGTGAAAAACAATCCTTTGAAGGTTAGGCACCAACTAACAACTTGTATCGACCATAATGTACCCCATAGTTTAAAAGAAAATTTTAGATTGTGATTCTACCTATCATAACTATCTCCTTAAACGACTTCTATATGTGGAATACGCTTTTAAACCGTTGCAAATTTTGACACTGGGGACTATGCTTTCATAAAGTCACAAATATTACCGTAGATAATCCAAATTATGTAAAACATATTTTTACCATAAATTATTCATTTATAGCAACATACAAAAAAATCATTAATGATTGTCATGTTTATGTCATGCTGTCCCCTACTCTTCCTAAGTTTGTTATGGATGCTAACATGTTAAGTTATTCATCCTAAGTTAGCTTGTTTCAGTCATCAAAAGACTACTTACTGGAAAGAGCAGATCCAAAGTATCCCAAGCTGCATGACGTACAACTCTTGTTGGATACATAGGTCCTCCAGGAGAAGTGAAGCTGTACAAGCATGCCTTTAGCCTTGTACTTGTCGTCATCCTCAGTTCTAGTCCTACACAGATTTCCACAACAATAAGCAGCATTGTGAATGTAACTGACAGATATTTACAACTCTAGCTAAAGGGTCAGTCACATAAAGCATAGGTGCACATTGCCACTTGAAATAAATATAACCTTTAAGAGCACTCATACGGGAGAGATAATGTAAAAGCACAGGCTCTACTTTCAGCTTCTGAAGCTGAAAAACACAATAATATAAAAGGTGATCAATAATGCTGTCTATGTGACCAAACAAATTCTTCTAACATAAATGACTAACCTGATCTGCAAGCTCAATCACAAATATATCTGCTGGGCCTCCAACCAAAAAAGCATTTGGGAAACCAGGAAATTGCCCCAGAAACTTTTCAAGCAAGTCATCTGCTAGTTACAAAGTTGAGAACATTAAATGACAGACAAAATACTTTGTTCAATGTGGTACTACAAGTTAACAAAGCCGCACCTAGATTGTAAAAGAATAAGAACCTGGAGAGAAGAAGACAGAGATCTCGACGGGCCTAAAAAAAATAATAATGCTAAGAATATGCTTGGTAATAAAACTAAATACTATATTACTATACAGGATAGGAGCCCTGCTTCACTTAACTTAATGCAATAAAATGAACAAAATATTAAATGGTAGAGAAAATACTGAAAGCAAAACCTGCAAAGAGATCTTGTTGCTGCGATAGGGTACAAGTGCAACCTCCTGAAGAAGATACTGAGAAAAAAGGAAATAAAAAAAATTCAACTTTAAGCTTAGGAAACATACGAGGCATCATTGGAAAATAATCCAGGAGCTGTGTATCTTACACTGAACAAGGGAAAAAATCTCTTCCTATTTGTTTGGATGTCAATCCTGACAACAGGAAAACAAATAAAGCTTTAAGAAACATTTATGGAAAAAAAAAACCAAAGAGCATGAATATGCATGATGGCTTCCCTTAGGTAGGCCCATGGTTCTCAAAGTGACCAACTTGTTTAATAGGAAAGTTACATCACATCTTAATCAAGTCAATGTGCAAGAAAAAATACAACACCATAACCAGCTTCGAAGAACTATTTTCAACTCATTTACTTCTGATATCACCAACAGTGTTGCAAACGAGAATGTAATATTTAAGTATAGTAATTGTATCAACTACAAAAGGCATACTATTCAGAATGAAATTTTAACGAACCCAATTACAAAACACAAACTCTATACTACAACTTTTTATGTCAAGATAAACAACAACATTATTTTGTACTGTCAGGTATACTATTCACTCAATACATTTGCTCTTAGTCTTAGTCAAAATTCTAAAATCTTATTTTCTAATGTTTGTCTACATAATTCAAGTATAAGATATATCCAAATTAAATTCACATCAATCAAACAATATCATTATTAAACAACATAGGCCATCAAGACCATTCCAATAACTTTGTAGACACAATTACTACAGTCCTTAAATTGACTACTCTATTATGCATATATTTTATTATATAAGTACTTAATGTATTTTCCATAGTTTACATTCTCAGTCCATTACCAGTTTATTAGACTAGTATGCTACTAGACACTATAGCAACTTGTACAATATGATATCATCATAAAAATAAGAAAAAGGACACTGGCTATCAAGCTATATAACCTATCCATGATTGGGTCGCTATATACTAACCAAATCATACTGGTCCTGCATACTCAAACCTTGCTTTAAATCTTTTATAAAACCCATTCAGTAAATTCATAGACATTCTATTACAAGCTTTTTCCAAGTCAACAAAAACTACATTCTACTTTTTATAATCTTTTAGTAACTATGTCCAAAATAAATATCTTCTTTGGTTTCTCTTCTGGACAATCTCGAAAAAATGTATAATATTCATGATTAACTTATACATCGGTCCCTCCAAGTTTTCGATTACCAATGAATTTGACCTTAATAAGATTGTCTACACTCTTTTACAGAACATATTTATAATATAAAATATAGAAAGTTACCAATGTAGATGCAAATACTATCTACACAAACTGTCATCCTACAGCAATCTGTAATGTCCTAACACTTGTGATGGCTACACAAATTGTCATGCTATGTATACCAGTTACAGTCAATCAGGAAGTAACCACAATCAATTGTTTGATAAAAAAATCCTCACATACCAGAAAACATTGGTAGCACCTTGAACAAGGGCAGATCCATAACGTAGCAACATTTCAGAATTTTCAACAGAGACTTCAAATAACTGGAAGGAGAAACAACAAATTAGTAAAATATTTATATACAAGATATATGTATATATGCATATAAATAATAATTTAAAAAAGGCATTGAGACATTCCCAACATAAAAGTTGTCAGCATTGCCTGCTATAGGTGTGTCATTCATTCCTTCGAATAGCATCTGTAGGACACTTTTCCTAGATTGATACATTTACGACATAAAATCTATCAGTATTGCCTGCTATAAGTGTACCATTTGTTCCTCGATACAATCTACAGGACAGCCTCCACCAATCTAATTCCTGATAGTCTAACTAAATTGAAGAGATTGTTCACATGGCAGTGATGAGAAGTTCCTTATTCTAGAGAATTCATTCATTTTTGCAGATATAAATTTAGATTGTATGGCAAGACACAACAACATTATATGCATGGCACATCACAGAATGATAAATAATCATGACCATAACAAATATACCAAAACACGGAAATAGATGCTAGTAAATGACATGCACAAGGGACTGACAACATAGGATGAAAGTACTCAAAGCAAATAAAGCCTAGATGGATAAACATTCTTATATATTAGTTGCATAAAAGAATTTCTACAATGCAAAGCATACCCACTTATGGAATATGAGCGCAAATATATGTGACACAAAGGATTGGCTCCAAAGTTGAACAATTAAATCAAGGATGTGCTTTCCATTTTCAGGTTCGCCAACAAAATAATCAGCAAGTACATCATAGAAACACAGATGGTTCTCAATTCCATCATCTGCAGATGTAATTTTGTCTTCATCCTTTTTGAAAATCATGTCTGCAAGGCACATTACGAAAAAATTAGAATCTAAATGGATTTGAAGTTATCAATTCTATAAAGTATATCATGTGCAGGCATAAAACAAGCAGACAAGATAGAAACATAATAATTGATAATCTCCAATTTGCAAAAGCAGCACATCAAAGTCAAACTTGTGGCTAATTATTAAAAAATTTACACCAAGCGTGAAATTCTAATTGCCTTGAATATTTTTTTGTGATTATATATCATAATTAAATAAGTGCATGAATTAGATATGTTCACAATGGAAAATTAATCCATGATCTTCTTCTCAGTACCACTTCCTGGATAGGAAAACTGAAATGCAAATGTGAAACCAGAAAGCCAATAACAAAAGACAATTAAGTAGATAAAATCAGTTTGGCTTTGTTTGATAAAATTTTTTATATTTATCATATTCAAGTATCCAGATCCAGACAGAGCTCATTCAAGATCCATATCTATATCCAAAGTTTCAGATAATAAAATTTAGCTTCGAGTATAGATATAGATGATAATCATCTATGTAATTGCACCTAGATCTTGTTAGATATGGAATGAACTCAACAAGATAGTATCTGAACCACTATTATCAATACATCCATATATTTTCCCAACCAAAAGTTGAGAATATGGCAACTGTAGAATCAATTCATTTCAGGTAAAACAAACCGCAACATTTCCTGCAACAAGCAATCAAGAATGACATCCAAGAAAATTCTGGTTCTTTTTCTTGGTCAAAAAGGTCCATAACCAACGAAGCTAGTGAATTAAACACTTGACAGCCCAAAGACAAGCTACTAATTCATATCCCTTTATCAAGCACTGGGGCTCAAAGGTCATGAAAGTTGAATCTATCACAAAGAAATGTTTAAAAGTTACAACCCTTGTTCATGCAGTACTATTGGTTTCTTCCTGTGGGTTCAATTTGTGTTCTTTGCTTGATTATCACATAAGAACATTTACAAAAAACTACAAGTTAAACCTCAGCCTTAACAGAAAGATAAGACAAACAGAGCTACTGTAAGGCTTTTATGCAATAACAAACTATATATACACATTCCAGGATACTTAATGTAAAACAAAAGGTAAAAAACAAAACAAACAGATGGCCAAAAGTTCAGCGGAAAAAATACAGGAGATTAGAATGTAAAAAATAGGCTATTGAAAAAATGTTTATTTAGTTGGTTGATACTGTCTTCAAGCAATCAATGACAGTGTATATAGAAAAGTTAGGCATTATCGGAACAAAATTGTGTCACTATACATCTCAGACTTCAAAATTATGACACTTGTCATACTTAATCTCAATATACAACTTTAAATACTATATTATTATATGATACCATAATCAAACCTAATTCCTACAATTTTCATTGGCCTCACCATGAGCATGAGTCTGCATCAGTCACGTCCATTCCTAAGTTTGAAAACCTATTTAGCCTCCTTTTAGCCTTCCTAGGATTCATGAAACCCTTGTCCTTTTTCCCTTTTTGTTTGAAAGAACACTTTGGAGTCAGTACCAATGTACCGCGTACTGAACATAGAGAATTCCTGAAGTCCGTTAAACTTTAAAAAGTGCAATTGACTACTCATGCCATAGTATATACACAACTCCTGATATGTATCAGCCACTGTATCTTCCTCTTCTCTTGCATCACATCTCCAACACCAGTTCATGAATTCACAAGTTGACGGAAGAGGGAAGGTGGATAGTAGAAGTTTTCTTCTAAATTGTTTAGTGTATGTACTACACAAAATTGCGAACCCCAATATCTTACCCTCTTTCTCTGCACTGGTATATAATTCAAGTATCACATAATGTTAATCTCTCTCACAACATTCAATAAGTATTTTTTAATGTACCGTCCGAAACGAAGTTTCTTAAGTTACTCAAATATCTCTATGAAGTGTCAAATTCTACATATGATAAAATGATACCAGACACAAAGATGACTACCACTCTAGTTAATTTACAATGTACAAATGAGACCATCTTCATAATCACAAAACCCCTAAAATTCTTCTAATCGTTCATAGCAAGCAATGCAGGAAAAAAAAAAAAAACTATAAACTCGACAAGTTCTTAACTACCTAAATTTAGATCTCTGAAATCTTGGCCATTCATAAAGCTCTGCAATCAGTATCCACATGTACAATGTTAAAGACAAGGTGTAAAACAGCAGAGAAATGGTTTTCAAAATAATTAGCAGGTACTTTGAAGACCTATTTTCAACAATGTATACTACACAAAACAAGATATCTAGATTATTGTACAAAGGCATTCTTGCAAATTGGAGCATCACAAGAAGGAAGTGGCACCTCGAGCACGATCCTCAACCTCCAAAGCTACATCAGCAAATAATTGTTGAAGCAACTCGGGTCGTTGCCTTGGTGAAATCAATGCCTGCAAAAAGACCAACCGCTATAGTGAAAGCAACATCACTTATTTGGACAAACGTTAGGGTGCGAGAAAGCAATTACTATCCGAACCAAGATTTCAAGATTCGACCGTCAAATCACAAAAAACAAGAAAAAGAAAGAGGAAGAAACGAAATCCGACCCAAGAATCGGAATCCTCACCTTCTGGAGCTTTCTCTCAATCTCTAGCGTCAGGGCGGCGAGATATGTCGATCTCCGATCCGCCGAGTGCTGCTGCATCGTCTCCATCGACCGAACACGGAACGATCTGAGGAAACACGGCGAATCCTAACCGCCACAACCTCAAGAATCGCCCATGCGGCAGCTTCTCCTACCGCGATCCAATCAAGAACCACAAGAATTCGCCAAATCAGGAGACAAAAAGCAGAGAGGATGCGAAACCCTACCGAGATTTGGGTGGGAATGGGGAGGGAGCAATGAAACTAACGAAACCGTCCTCGCGAGAAACCCACCGGCTCCGGCCTCGGCATCAAGAAACAACGAGATGTCGCCGACTTTGTATCGTGAATCAGCTGACGTCGACGTGTCCGCGCTTATCCCGCAGAAGGCTGAACCGTGTACACGAGCGGATGGAAACGGAGACGTGGAGGTCGAAACGAGGTGTGGGACCGACGATGCGCCTAATCGACACGCAAGCGTGAGTCGTGGCATATGGAACACAGCGTAGCCGACACGTGTTGCTTTGGGTATTTGTTTGGTGTCGCCGAGCGGTTTATAGCAAACAAGTACAGATTTGGGGTTATTATAATCGGAATCCATCGATCACTCCATTATCATCTCGTCGGTGGGTAAACGTACGGCGCAGGGAGCGTAATGAATGAACGACGAAACAAATAACGATTTGCCCAATAGGACAAAGGAACATTGTTATTATTATTATATTTGTCTATGTGGACGGGAAAGCAGAAACAATATAGTGCCATAAACAGCAGCATGTAATACAAACAAACCAAACAACAAGATACATTCGTTTTAGTCGGGCCCATAAATAATGCGTCTTTCTTTAATCCGCGCAAAGAATAACTGCATTTTTAAGTTGGGAAAACATGTGCGACAAAAGAAAGTATATGTGATAGCTTTCCAACCTTATGGCTGTTTCTTCGATGAAGACACCTCAACTACGACATAGTGGCTCCACGCCTGTGGCAGCGACGTACATCAAGAAATGTTCTTCTTCTTAGCGAATAGCAGCATCAGAAGTTTCAGTGGTGATCTGTAGTCCTCACTCGCTGCTTGAGAACGCCGGTAGTCCCAATTTGACCGAGGTAAGGCTGCCAGATCAAATGCTATACAAGGCACCATAAAAGGATTTGGTGGACAACTTTGCAGTGTGTTTGCTGTACGGTCCAAGATCGGATTGTCAATTACCATCATCATTTCATGGACTCAATGCAAGGAACTTTCACAGATCGATAGTAGCTCACTAACCCATTAAAGTTCTTCTAACTCTATCCACGATCTGACGTGTAGCCTGGCTACTGGCCAAAGGAAAGTCTCTGCTATCATCCAAGATGAATCTGTAGACTTCCCATTGTCTATCAGATGATGAGTGCCTGCCAATTTCAGCCTGCACATAACATAGAAGGAGAATAAATACTTCTCCCTAGACTACCAAAGAAAAGAATAAAAGAGAAAGCAAATTGCGACTGCAATTTACTTACAGAGAAATGCAAATTCCGAGCACTTTTAAGGGCATGAATGGCATCATAAAACACGTGAGGCCTCCTTTTTCCGGACAATTCAGCCGGGTTGGCAACAAGGAGTTCGGTGTCCGGCCCACGATTGGCAATCATCACTCTCAAAGGATGAAGCATTTCCATTCTCAAACAAGAACCCAGCAAATTCTGTTTCTCAGGATCAATTATCTTCATTCCATCTGTTTGCTAGATAAAGAGGTCGGTCAGACCTCACGGGAGCCTTTCATATCTGACATGGATCGTCCATAAGCTATCTAAACCACAAGCAATGAGAAAATTTATCAGAAACATTCATGTCTGTACATTGTACATATTAATCGCAAGATTGAGGATAAAAAATACATGAAAACATGAACCTCATTCTAGTTATTGAAGCACTTGTAATATATCTAGTTTGGTAGAGAATAAAAGCATGCAAGGTATCAACTTATATACGAGAACTACCAGGAATGAATTTACTACAAAAGTTTGTATTGACAATAAAAAAAAGCAGTAGTAATCCAAGACTGCGAATGCAGACTAGATAAATAAGATTCTCAACCAAGACATGTCACAGATCTAATTTTAAAAAGAGGGGATCCAAGAAAGAAGCGACCGAGCTATAAAATCAATCAAATGAAAATCGGCATGGTACATAATGTGATTATTAATCGAGTCCTAGTGCCATAAACACAATCCAGCTTAGCTTAAATAGAGAGGATCCAGATAAAGATAATTGGAACCCAAATTTTGTAGTCCTTCAATGTCCTCATAATGTCATAGAGGAGGCCCTTTTGATCAACACAATGAATTTGAAGCAAAGTGTAGGAAGGGATTAATGAGTTGTCAATTTTTAGATCAGCTTTCTTCAGCCTTTTCATATCTGAAGCCGGTGTCTGTGAACAAAATTCATTATCTTATAGTTCCAGGCCAAGGAGAGTTTCAGCAACTTCTGGTGGAAGACAAGAGAAACCATGTTGAAAACTATCAGCTAATCCTATCTTACAACTTCCCAGAACTGCATTCAATTTTTTGCAGGTCTCATGCTTTCTCCTTTTGGTGTGCAAGAGCTCCCTGACAAAAGAGACAAGTAGATAAACAATCAGCAGAAGGTATCAACCGCCAGCTAATGCAAACTGGAGCCTCAGGACACAGCATGATACATGAAAGAACCACATAGATTATGAAAGGAATATTATGCACAAAAATTAGCATAATAGTTGTTTTACAGAACAAACAATCATTCTCACAGAAGCATTTCATCATAAAGAACCTGAGAGAGCTACAGTACATATGCCGCCAAAGTTGAGAGCACAATAGCAGGATCTGAAGCTAAACCAAGCCGCAAAATAATAAGCAAAGTGAACTTGTTAGATCCACACTCACATGCCATCTGTAATGAAGAAAAGGTCGACAACTTTTACCATCAGGAGTTGTCGAGACCTTCACTCAAGCTCACAAAGAACTCGAGTGACATCTGCACCAAAATTTCAAATGATCAGGAAGTACAGATGTCAAAATGACTAGTACTTAGATGAGAGTTTGAGGACCGTGCAACAATCCTTTTCGATCGACAGAGAACAACTTCAAAAGGTAAACTTGAGAACTAGTGGGTTAATTCACTAGATCAAAGTAGAATGGGACGGAACAAGATTGACACATGGAGATTAACCGGATCTTCGAACTCGTCCAACGGATGTTACTGGAGGATGAACACGGGACAACCCAGAACGCCAAATAGCACCATTTGCCCATCGGTTGATATATCTTTGAGCAAGACAAAAAAAAATTGCAGGTTAATTTCACATATTGAAAAGGCCATCGAGTTGACGACAACCTAAAAAATTTTCTTGAAGGTTTCTTTTGCTGAAACTAATCAAACAGTAACATCTTTACAGGTTACTGAAACACTACTGAATTTGTATAGTCTAGGGAATTTATTGTAAGCAAAGCAGGTAATAATATAGAAACAGATCTCAAAAGATATCTTTGTTGATAGATAAAGAAGGGGAAGAATTAATTTGTGGCATAAACAAATGATTGGAGTTTCAAAACTGATAAAGAACACTATTTACATTCACCCAAGCAAAAATTAATTCCGTCAGATGATCCCAAGAAAACAATCAAAAAAGGAAGCAAAGATGAGTATGCGATAGAAAACCTTTAAAGAAAATAAGAAGACTAAAAGATGCGACCTTTTCCAGCGACTAGGAACTAATCTGAGCATTCACCCTAGAAAGGATCGAATCAAAAGAAGGGCGAGACAAGGAGAGAACGATACAAAAGATTCTTCAAATGAGAAACCGAGAGGCGATTCCGCCCCGACCTCCTCTGGTGATGCAAAGGCCGAACTCGAGGACTGTGTGGCAGAGATCGCTGCCGAGGCCGGTCTGGTCGGGGCGATTGACGGTGATGACGCTCGGCTCCCCCGGTCCCATTAGCCAACTGGATCACCACCGCGTCGTCGCTCGCCATCCCCATCCCCGGAGTCCCCGGGGATGTGAGGGGTGGCTACTCGAAAACATCGAACGGGGCCGTCTTGGTCTGGCGTCCTTTCCCGAGTGGTCGAGCCAATTTGCTCTGTCGAGCCGCGGGTCCGTGCCAGCCAATCTGCGCCCCTTCGCGTGGGCAACTCCTGGCTGGGGATGTGGCACGTGAGGAGGTCCGCCGGTGGCCTCTAGTACACCTGTCATGTCATGGAACAAATAAAATAAAAAGAACCTCTTTTTGTATCTCCAATTATTCATGTTTTGAATTAAAAAAATATTATAATAATATTAATTTGATATTTACAACGTATTCTGCTTAGGATTTGCAGTCCAATTTGGCTGCGAGTAATTGACAATACGGCACAGGTTTTGGACACTGCAGAACTGAAAACATGAGGCTGACAATAATGCAATCATCAGCAATCAGCGAATTCCATGCAAGCGGATGTTTGGACGTCTGGGTTCACGTACCATTCGCACACCAGCAATAATGGTAAGTCAAGCGAGTATGAGATCATACATGAGCTTACATTACTTAGCCCCCCCAACTGGGTTGGAATACCAAGTCGAAAGAGATCATATATGAGATTCCAGTTTCCTACATCTCGGCCGTCCGAGACCGTTGATTCTAGATAAGAAGATTTCCATTTGATGGGTGTACTTCGATTCACCTATTCTGACCAACAAAAAACAAGCTTGTTTTCTCAGCCGATTCTGACAGCCACTCTGGTTTCTTGATTCAGGTTTCTGTGAGCATTGCACCTGACATCCTCAATGGTGTTTCCAGGAAGCAGAGAAGTAGAAAGCGGATGAGGAGGAGCATAAGAAGAAGGTAGAAGCAACAAAATTTTCCGGGAAACACCATCGAGGATGACTAGATAGCATCCAGGCTCGCTGCTGCCGTCAAAAAAGAGGATGGAGGACGCAATCGAGCATGATGGCAACCAGTTAGCCGAGGCGGATGAGTTTGAGGCCACCACGAAGCACCTGACAGCATCTGCAATCCTATCATTGCTAAGATGCACCAGGGGAGGTGGTACTCCCGACATGGCTGGTGCATGGATGATGATGTTCCTTCAGAGGATGGCAGAGGTGCAAGGCTGAAGATCGAGGATGGCAGTCTACGTTCTAGGTGCTTGTTCCTGGTTTGCTTTGGTAACAGTTCTGTTGGGTACTTCTTGGGCCTTGATTCTGCTTTGGATTTTGCTCTCAAATGTTGTTCTGAGAGTTACAGTGGAAGAAGCTCTTGATCCAATTTATTTTGCAGTATTCTTGGTAAGATAGTCAAGCAGTTCCTTAGCTGTGTGTCGGAAAGTTACACATCCAGGTCCAGTAAGGGAACTGCTCGGCTGCTGAGGTGGGTTCGGTCGTCCGCTGTACTTGTCACTGTTGCATGTTACTTTGAGATCCTTTTATATCCCGTGGAGCCTCGTTTTAGATCTGTCGCTTTTCTTTTTGCAGGGCCGTTGTCTTCTTGTATAAGAAGCACTGCTCATGCAGCAACATTCTTGTCTGAATCGCTTCCATGAATACGTTGTTTGACAGGAATTCCCTGTTTGGGTTGGTGGTCAAGATGTCGATTAAAGTTGTTAAAGCTGATGCAACAGAGCAACTCGATCGAGTACCTCGAGATTCCCGGCTCACGATCGTTGTTTTGGGACAGCCATGGGCCATTGGAGCAAGGTTTTGTCCATGGATGGCAATGAAGTTTCTTCTTTATCGAGTCATGTCAATCTGACATATTCTTTCTGCGATGAGTGGTATGAATCAGTGGTTGATTCTTTCTTTCGACCATCCTATTTTTTTCAGAGACCAACAAAACATGTCAAATCGTGCAATAAGTTTTACACTCCAGCAGGTGAATAAGCGATGGGAAAATGGTTATTTGCATTGTAACCATCCACGTACTTTACAGGAACCGAGACGTCTGGAAATGTATGCTTCAGTTGTATCTGCTTGACATTTGACGAAATGGTCACGTACCCATCGAGGTATCCAAGTTCCCCTTGTTTTCTCTCTCTCATTTCCTACCTCCTTGTCGTCGTTTACAGTCGACGCAGAAGCTCTAATATCCTGTTACGGTTCTCATCTCTCTAGGCCATAATTGACCTCGTAAGGATCTAATCCTATTATATAATTTTATATATCATCTTTGTCATGCATGAAGCATCATCTACTTGACCTTTGGAGAATAAAGGCTAAGAGTCTCTCTCTCTCTCTCTCTACCTACCAACCAAAGACTACCAGAATATTAAAATGCATGCTCTCTTCATTTTCCTTTTCTTTGAATTCTCTCTTCTAGTCTGTCTTCTTCTTCCCTTGAGCTCTCTGCAACTCGTTGTAGATGTGATCACCCGCCGACTGGTAAACACATCTGCCCGTTTCTTGAAAGAAATACAAGTTAGAGGAAGAAGAGAGGAAAAGAACAAGCCAACCATGGCTCTTTCGATCTGTTCATGTCTACCTAGATCCACCTAACTGGATCCAGGTGAGTGCGCTTCTTCCTCTTTTCTCCGTCCCTTCTACATCCAAAGCGTGTGACTAAAGAGCGTATGGATTCTCGAGCTCATGAAAAATCTCTTCTTGGATATGTGTGTTTTCCTGCTTTATTCCAAGGGAGCAAATAAGCTACCGGGGAATGGCAGCGCGACGCCCTGAAGGTGAGATGGTTCGCTCGATTAGGTCTCCACCAATGGCGGACCAAGCTCGGTTCGCAAAGGTTCCTCAGCCACAGCCAGGACTGAAGTGCCCGCGTTGCGACTCCACCAACACAAAATTCTGCTACTTCAACAACTACTCCTTGGCACAGCCCCGCCATTTCTGCAAGACATGCCGGCGTTACTGGACTCACGGCGGCGCCCTCCGAAACATCCCTGTCGGTGGTGGTTGCCGCCACAGCAAGCGGACCAAATCCAGTGCTGGCAGCTCCTCGAAGTCCTCGACCGTGACCACCCAGGCCGGTGCCTCCTCCTCGTCCTCCGCGGCCGCATCTTCGGCCATAGGTGGTGCAATCACGTCGAACATCCCGCTCCTATCGCAGCTGGCCTCGTTGCACCCTCTACCAGACTTCGGAGCCACTAACTTCGGCATGGGCTTATCAGGCATCCAAGCCGTAGACACAATGGGCTTTCAGATTGGCGGCGGCGGCATCGAGTTGGAGACTTTGAGGCTCCAGCAAATGCATCAGTTTCCTTTATTGGGTGGACCACAACTCCCACAGCCGCCGCCACCTGCATCAATTTCCGCGTTACACCCTTTCGTTATCGAGGGCTGTGGATTTCTAGGGGGACCATTTACCAGGCAAGCTCAAGCGAATCCGGCTGGTTCCGAGCTCCTAACGCAACTGGCTTCAGTGAACATGGACAGTCATCAACTGCTTAATTCTCCAAGACAGTATGTTGGTGTCGCTCACAATGTTCAATTCTGGACCGGCGGTGGGGGAAGCAGCAACAGCAGTGATGCCGGTGGATGGGCGACCGATCTTTCAGGATTCAACTCTTCATCTGGCAACATCTTGTGATTGCATGGTTACTACGGTCACCTTATATCATGGAAGCTTATCTTTTTGGCAATGGCTTCGGAAAGGGCGTACTTGAGCAGTAGATCGTCTTCTTATTTCAGGCTTATTTGGATTTCTTTTTTTCCCAGTTTCGTGATGTGTTTTGTCTTACACTATGGTTATAGAAATTTGACGATCGAGTCGTCGGAAAATGATATCTCTGACTCGTAAAATCTGATGTTAGAAACTGATGCATACGACGTATCTCATCTTATGTGTCTCACAGTGTCTTCTAGTTCGTTGTTCACATTACTGATGAGAAGCCATTTGTTTTTGACTTTTTCTTCAAATGATTAGACAAGTGAAAATAATCTTCTATGATGCAATGACATGAAAGTATAACATTTCACATGCGCATGAACAAAGATTTACACCGCTCGTAGAGCTTTTAATTTATGGAAAAGACGGGTTACCATCACTTCATCTATCTTCTAATTGTTTCCACTTCAACACTTAGATCATCTCTGTTTTCAGTAAAATTTCAATTAAATCGGCTGTTCTTGCAACTTCTAGATTTACTATATACTTCGCTTACAGAGACAAAGTCTTCGACGGAAGCCTTTTCTGCACTTAGATATGATTCCATTCAGCAGTAAGCATTAGTTCTCATCTTTTAAGAGACTGCCAGGTAGAACAACTTTTGACCAGTATTCCTCCCATGCTGTATGTCATCGTCTTCAATTTCTTGTTTGGAGTTTGACAACTTGAATTGATTGCTCCGTAGAAGAAATTTGTTCGTTTAACTTCCCCGTCTAGATAAAAATCATCAATTTTATTTCATTGGTTTTCACCGCCTTGTGATTTCCCAACTGTTGAATCTACATTCAGAAGTGTTATATTCTGGCGAATAATAATCTCTCTCTCTCTCTCTCTCTCTCTCTCTCTCGTCAAATCTTATTATGATTTCCATAACGTTGAGTGTGTTTCGATGCATTGATGTCTTTGGATTTCTTATCATCTCAATAGTTTTCTTTGCATCAGCAATTCAGAGGAGGCTGTTTAAACCTCTTGAATTGACTGCAATGTGCTGTATTTAGTCGAACAATAGTACAGATCGTATTTATCCCAACCTATGCGCATGTGCATTCATGGATCCATGAACATCCATACACATGCAAAAAGGAGGAGACAACCCACTTTATCTGTGCAGCATGCTGTTGACTGTGCTATAGAACGAAGAAAATAACATATATTTAGCCTCACACAAGTTTATCTGCATGTTTGACTGTGCTATGAGCAAAGAAAAAAAGAACCCAGATCTCACTAAAATACATACACTTCCCCAGAAACACCAAAGGCCAAGACCAGTCGTCGAAGAGCATGGAGCAGACATGCCCTGAAACGTTGAAGGACGACAAGGAAAGAAAGAGAAAACCAGTAACGATGAGGAAAAGGAAACGACGAGGGCGAAAGAGCCAAAACTCCATAACCTATCTGTCGAAGGGGTCCATGCCCCAGGAAATCCGGATTCTCGTCGCTTTCCCAAAGACCAAGGCCGTCTACCCTTCTCGTCTTGGCCTATGAGAGAATAAAGTAGTATGAAGCCATGGACAAATAAAAGCAGAAGAAGAAGAAGAAGAAGAAGAAGAAGAAGAAGAAGAAGAAACGAGAGAAGCCTTCGTAGGTTTAGTTGTCGAAGGACAAGGTCTGGAAGTAGTCGGAAACGCGAGAGAGATGAGAAAACGAAGAAGGCAAAAGCAAACGAGGGACAAGCAGTGTGTGTGCATCGTGTAGGAACTCGGAACTCTATGCAATGTTGACTGTGAGCTTGAATTAAATATCTCGTGAGTTGGTGTCGGAACCTTCAAAAGTCATCACGCAATTGACGGTGAGCTTGAATTATATGCGCATTTGTATGGCTGGCTGACAATTCAGAGCAAATGTAGTCTTCTGGGTCAACCCATCCGCCACTCCCGCGATGGGGCAGAAGGAGAAGAGGGAGGCCACTCCACACGAGCAAATTCCATGGTGGTTCAAATGCCCAAGGAACCGGAAGCTTTGCGTCAACGGGTCGACCAATTTGACGAGACAGGTAATCTACACCTCCTGCTCGCTATTCGAGTGGATGTACCACAAATGCTTCCTTTCTATATTTTAGGGCGCCAACGTATTGGTGGCATGATCACAAGCCAATCCCCGATTGCCACAAATTAATTACTTCACATATTATGTATGATGGAATAAGTCAACTTAATCATTGGATGTAAAAAGAAACTCTGTAAATGCTTACGATGACCGAAAATGACTTTTCAACGCTCTCTCTCTCTCTCTCTCTCACGCAAAAGAAGGTTGAATACGAAGACCTGACTCCATGGTTAATGCATCATCTGTCATCTTGACTCCACCAAAAGACGAGGTTCCTTGACTTTGTCCAATCAAAACTCCGAGGGGAAAAATGTTGCGTGTCCCATCTCGGGTACAATTGCTCAGACAGAGCACATGATGTGGTCAATTCCGTGGATTCTGTACCAGCTCGTGTTGCGCACTGAGGACAAACCATATGGTTTCAAGTCAACCGACCTTGGACACCAGGGTGGCCATTGGTATGCCACAGCTAATCACAAATAGGTCATGTAGGTCCATTTGGAACTCACCGTCAAAAGCTTCATTTATCTTTATCCACAAATATATAGATTTATAAATTATTCGTAAATACCTATGTATTTTTTACCTAGTAATTTTATCGAATATTATTATTATTATTATTATTATTAGTTTTCATCACCCGCACAACCACTCCATAAACGGCGTCAGCGCCGAGTCCTTTTCCTTATTGTATCGTTGTCTCCGTTACGTTGGGGTTTGACCCGCTGACGGATTTATTAATCCCACGATTTGTCGTGTCTCTTCTTGGTTGGTTCGCAGCCACGTCAAACCCCCCTGTAATCCAACGCCCGCTTCCGAGTCGACTCGCCACCCACCTTCCCATGCGGCATCGCTCGCAGCACCGACGGTGTATATTTTCCCGCATACGAACTTTATGCCATTACGTGGGACACCGCCACTCTGAAGCGTTGATGTCTCGGACCGACGCAGATGAAATGATCACCCAAGACTTTCTTCTGTGACGTGGCGGCTTCTCGGGGACCTCATGCTGTGGGACCCTGGAACCTCAAGTCCACTTCGGAGTCGTGTCAGAACAGAAGTCGGCGGGCGGAGTGACTGGGGGCACATGTATTTTGGTAAGTACCAATAAGACCTCTATTTCTTATCCTGGTGTATGATCACCATCTCTGCTTGCTTATTTACTTGCCGCATACTCGCGTGCCGCCGCTCCCGACGAACATATCGGCCGAGATCTCTCGCGCGATCCGACGCTGCCATCTCCGAGATCTTTCTCCACAAAAGAGGAGACGAAGAAGAGGACAAAGGGGGAAGACGAGGAGCGCCTCCCTCTTGCCTCGCCCTCTTCTCTGGTTCTTCCGTTCGTCAAAAGGGTCGAGGATTGAGAGATCCGTGGGCAAGGCGCGTAGATCGGAGGCAGATCGGTGCGTGAGCTAGTGCATCGGTGTGTCAGAGGGCGAGCTTGGCGGAGGAGGATCGACTCGTGTGTTTTAATCAGGTGATTTGCTTTTGGTTCTGTTATTTGATTGGATTTATCATCATCTTGTGGATCTACCGGTTTTTTGAATGTTTGAGGTCTGCCATTTCCATTTTTGCTCTTCATTTTTTCGATCTAAAGGCTGACGCCCACTTCTTGTGGAACATCAGTGGAGAGAATTGCTCCTGAGCTCCATTTTTTTAAAAGCTTGGGCCGATTCCTTATCCCTGCCTAAGTTTCTGTAGATCTCAATGAATTCTGCATCTGTTCCCATGAAAATGGCTCGTAGCATGCTTGGAGTCCAACTCCCTTGCAATAAGTGATGCTTTATGGATTCCTTGTGACAAAACTGTTAGATGAATTTTAACTGTTTGACGAATTGTCAGTACTCTATATTGCGTCCGACCATAAATTTAACAATATGCTGTGTTATAATCGTTTTATCAGCAAATCTAAGTTCTAGGAATTTCCATCTTTTGGGTTAAAAATTGTTACGATCTCAAGCTGGTCATCGTGTTACCTTCAGAATGTTTACTAAAGCTTGTGTATAAAGGGATCATCGAAGAATCAAAACTTGTGTGGTGTTAAATGGTTCTCGGTGCAGTCATAAGTTTGATAGGGACCTCCAAACAAAAGAAGAGCACTCGTGCTACCCTGATTGCCATGAAGTTTCTAACTTTATGCCGTGGGCTTTTCCAGGCTTCAACGACTTGGAAAACCAAATTAAATTCAAAGGCGATGACTTCGAAATTTTGATCTTCAACCTGCACGATGCTGTTTGCACATGGTAGATCGTGACTTGATCTAATTTTAGACGGGTTGCATCACGTTCTTTTCAGACATCAAAGAATTTTTTTAACTTAGAATTTTATGATTATTTTTGTACATGTTCAAGCTATTGATATGTTAAATGATAATTTATTTGTACATGTCACTGTATATTTATGTATACAGTTTCCTATTTACTTCCCAGTGATGTTTGACTCGTTCACTTTCCCTCTTGCCTTATCTACTCCTCCAACATTGTGAATTATCAGAACCATTGTGACCTGTACATAACAGATCCCAACCAGCGGCTTCATGTTATATTGCTTATTGGCTGTCTCGTTTTGGCTTTGTGAGTCAGATTGGCCTTCTGGTATAGCTCATCCAGGAAATCCTTCTGCTACCGCTGAGACTGAAAGGGCACAGCAATTAAGCTAGTATATTCAACTCCTCAGAAGCAAGTAACCAGTTGACTAACGGAGTTGGCAGAAGGTGCTTCGGAAGAGAAAAGAAATGGCACCCAGCATTAGGAAGGCTCTGGGAACTGTCAAGGACCAGACCAGCATTGGCCTGGCCAAGGTTTCCAGTAACATGGCCCCTGAACTCGATGTGGCAATCGTGAAGGCAACCAGTCATGATGATGAGCCTGCTAATGAGAAGTACCTCAGGGAGATCCTGAGCATGACATCCTACTCCAGAGGTTACGTCAGTGCCTGCATTGCTACTGTGTCAAAGCGGCTTGGTAAAACTCGTGACTGGGTCGTGGCAGTCAAGGCACTCGTGCTCGTCCATCGTCTTCTGGTTGATGGGGACCCTGCATTCCAACATGAGATTCTCTATGCAACCCGAAGGGGAACCCGTCTGCTTAACATGTCTGATTTTCGTGATGAGGCACACTCTAATTCCTGGGATCACTCTGCCTTTGTTCGCACCTATGCTCTTTATTTGGATCAACGTCTAGAGTGTATGGTATATGAAAGGAAACAAGGTGGTGGCAACAGCCGCTCGAATGAGTCCACAACAGATCGCTGGAGATCACCCCCACCAAATCGATCTGATTATGGAGATCATGATCCTTATGCCCATGGGAATTATGGGAGGTCCTCATACTCATACCCTCCGCGTGATGGCGGTGCTGGGTATGATGAACGACAGAACGGGGAAGATAAGAAACCGCCAACACCCTTGCGGGACATGAGGCCAGAGAGGGTGCTGGGGAGGATGCACCATTTTCAGCAGCTGCTTGATCGCTTCCTTGCCTGCCGCCCCACAGGTAATGCAAAGTTCAGCAGGATGATCCTCATTGCTCTCTACCCTATTGTCAGGGAGAGCTTCCAGCTCTATGCTGACATATGCGAGATACTAGCGGTCCTTCTTGACCGCTTCTTTGACATGGATTACGCTGACTGTGTCAAATCGTTTGAGGCCTATGCTAGTGCTGCAAAGCAGATTGATGAGTTATGTACCTTCTATGCCTGGTGCAAGGACACGGGGGTGGCCAGGTCATCGGAGTACCCAGAGGTGCAGCGCATTACTGAAAAGCTTCTGGAGACACTGGAAGAGTTTATGAGGGACAGAGCAAGGAGGCCAAAGAGCCCTCCTAGAGAGGCTATTCCTGCAGCCACGATGGATAGGGAACGAGAACCAGAACAAGACATGAACAGCATTAAAGCTCTTCCAGCACCATCTGATTACAAGGAAGAGGAGCCAGAGCCCGCTAAGGTTGGAGTGGAACCTGTCAAGCAGCAGCCACAGCAGCAACAAACTGACTTGGTGGATTTAAGAGAAGATGGCTCATCTACTGATGACCAGTCGAACAAGCTCGCGTTAGCCCTTTTCCAGGGCCCGGTGGCGGGCAGTGGTGCAAATGGTTCATGGGAGGCATTCCCCTCATCCAATGGGGACTCTGGAGTGACTTCGGCATGGCAAACACCTGCAGCAGAACCTGGAAAAGCGGACTGGGAGATTGTCCTTGTTGAGACAACTAGTAATCTCTCGAAGCAGCAGGCCTCGCTAGGTGGCGGTCTGGATCCTCTACTACTCGATGGCATGTATGACCAAGGGGTTGTGAGGCAGCAAGTGAATGCACAGATCAATGGAGGGAGTGCAAGCAGTGTGGCCTTGCCTGTGCCTGGACGAGGCGCTGCTCCAGTGCTTGCCCTTCCGGCACCTGATGGTACCGTGCAGACCATTGGGCAGGACCCATTTGTGGCATCCCTTAGCATTCCTCCACCTTCCTACGTTCAGATGGCAGATGTAGAGAAGAAACAGCAGCTGTTGGTTCAGGAGCAGGTCTTGTGGCAGCAATATGCCAAGGATGGCATGCAGGGCCAGTCCAGTTTAGCCAAGCTCAACAACATCTTCATTCCCAACCCTACAATGCCGTATGGGATGCCAACAGCCTATAATCCTGCAGGTGGATACTACTATCCCACCTACTGAATCTTGTTCCTTTATCTCCCTTTGGAATCTGTGTTTTGTTTTGTTTTGTTTTAGCTCAGTTTGTCGACTGTCGATCGTCCCCTGATACCATATGTATAAACAATTATTTGGTCTATGTATCAAGGTTTGTGAGTGACTCATATGGTGGTATATGTTCTGTAGCTCTTGACCGAGTGAACGTTCTCGGGAGTCATACGTCATTGTGCTGTGCAGCTGCAATAAGAAACTTGTGCTTATGCTCTTGCCTACCTCTGTTGACTCAACAGGCAGCTCAGAAATCCCGGACTTACGTTGGGCTGACTAATTACAATTCCATGTTGAAATCGTCATTGAGCTGGCAATTGATTGATCCCTTTGTGAAACGTGGGCGTCACAACAACACATTTTGATGGTCCATATTCACCATATTTAGATATTTACATGGAGTTTCCCATATAATAATTATAGTGTTGTGGCCAACTTAGCCTTTTCTGCATTAAAGTTTAGCTACTTTGCTTTGTCACCTAACTATAATTAATTTGGTGAAAAGGGTCTCCTCTTATGATCCAATGCCTATTCATTTCCAAATGGAGGTGGAGTATCTATGACCGAGTCTCCATGATGGATTGGGTAACGTAACATATTGTTTAGATGCTTGCAATAAGATCGTCCTTGCAATGCTTAGTATTTATTGATTTGATAAGGTTACAGATCAAAATTATGATGAACGATAATTAAATGATATTCTAAGGCTACTACTTGGTTGACGGACCGACCACCTAACCCATTTTTCCCAACAAGAAACATGTCGCCTTTGCATCTTGCAGATGCCAAGTCCTCGAGACACCGATCATCCAGCTTTCCATGTTTCATGAAGACGGACTGTCTTGATCTTGACTGTCGCGAAATCAAGATCTTGATGGACCCTCAATCCAAGTCACTCTTTCTGGTCTTCTGTCAATTCTTACGTCGCTTGCTTGGAGTTGGAGGCAAACTGCAGCAAAACACTGTCGGCATGCACTTGATCACGATGGTATAAAAACGAGCAAATATCTTTGATGTGAAACAAGATGAAAAAAAAAAGAAAAAAGGGTGAGATATGAGAGAATGAAAAAGATTTTATTTTTCAAAGAGATAATTATGAGTTAATAGCTCAAATATAAAAAATTGATGAGGTTTCGAAAATAAGAATGTTTCATCAATTTTTATTCCTTCCCCCAATTATAGATTTCTTGTACATTAAAAATTTGTTAGTTAATGAGTTAGAATTTACTAAAAGTAAAACATAAATTATAATATATATTAAATTTATGGTGTATTATATTTTAAATTTTTATAAGCTTAAAATTTATTATCTTAGAACTTGAGTCACTATATACTACATCATTCTTCCGAAAAAGAATTCATTCATGAGTTGTTGTCGTTATTATCATGATAAACTAATAAATTTTAAATATTAAATGTGGAGTGAGTGTGAACATTAAAATAAAGTTCAATCTTGTAAGCCTAGTTGAAAACTCAAGATTAATTTTCTTTTTATTGAGTTTATTGTAAGTTCATCTTGGAAAACATTCTTTTTTCAAAAATATCCAAATAATACATGACGTTGTTGGCCTTTTTTTTATAAACTTAGTTGCTAGCTTCGAGATTTTTCTTTACTTCTTCATGAAATCCTCTTCTTTAAACTTGATATAGGTGATTCAAATACTTTAGCAAGATTTAGAAAATGAAATACAACCATAAATAATCTCAAATAAACTCTTCTTATAGAATGATTAACCATAGAGTTATAAATAAATTTAATATAAGGTAGCATGAGATTCTATTGTTTTGATCTTTTTGCTAATTGTTGAAGATTGTTAAATTATGAAAAGAAAATTTGAACATAATCAAATGGAAGAAAATTATCAGAGTATCCTGATTTCATATTATCCTAATATGAAATCTTCATTTTTCCTTTCCGAAGGTGTATCTCTTCTATCTTGTCTCATCATATTGAAATATAACATCGAAGTCTTGTAGTAATTAATTTTATTTTTTAATTTTCAGATATCTCCTTGTACTCAAAGAATTTTTCACCAATATTAAACCATTCAAAATACTCTTGAAGTCAACCATGGAACTTCGGCAGTTCAATCTTGATGTTGTCATTTACATGAAAAGAACCCGACAAGTCAATCTTGATGTTGTTATTTACATGAAAAAACTTTTTCGTGGATGAGTCTCCTATAGCTTATTTGGATGTAAAAGGGATTCATGTTTTCAAATCAATCACTTGCATAACCATAACTCGAGCCTCTAGGACCACGAGTTTTTTTACATTCAAGACGTATAGTAATATTTTCAACTAGTTTTCTCGGTGCTTCAATTTATATATCTCTTTCGTCTTTAGCTAGTTGCATCGTTCTTTTGTCCTATCATCCTTTATTGTTGTTGTAAAAAAAAAGTACTCTAAGAGTGACTTGGATATCAAATAATGTGAAATAAGATGATAAAAAAGAAAAGAAAAGAAAAAGGTATAGAAAACAAAAGAAAACTCTCTCTCTCTCTCTTCAAAGAGATAACTATATAACTCAAAATACAAAAGTCTGATAAGATTTCAAAAATAAAAAATATTCCATCAATTTTCCTTCCTTCCACTTTTATAGATTGAATCCCTCAACCACTTAGTTAATGAATCACAATTTACTAAAAGTTAAATATAAATTATAATATATATTAAATTCATGATTCATTATATTTTGATGATTTTAAATTTTATAATTATTTTAAAAATATGAATTATTTTTTTAAAAAATCGATAGGATTACACTTAAAAATTATTATCTTAAAGTTTAAAAACATTCGACATTTGCCCAACACCTCGAGCATTAAACTTGAAACTTGATGGGTTGTATTGGGGGATTAAACTCCTGACATGCTAGAAAAATGTATTGCTCAGAGAATTGATTTCTACCTTTACAGACACATCAGAACGCATTCAAAACTTGCGTTGAGACGGATGCCAATGTGCATGAATGATGTTAATGCCATCCTCACTGATTACCTCACAGTCATTTGTCCCTCTATTCACTATTGCAGATGGCCTAACCAAGCTACTCCACCGGGGCTCGTGTTTGCTGGCCTGAACTTGGACATCAGTTCGATGCGCCACCTCCTCAGATTAGTTCGCGTTCGAATGGATCATTCTTCAATACGATACTCAATTTGTTGCCTGTCAGCCGACCGATATATGGAAATGCACGCCACCATATGTGGTAATATATCGTCCCCTTTATGCGCGTCCTATAATTCTTAACATATATGCCCTTGAATTTATTGTAATTTAGATATGGGAAAAAGTTTGAAGTACTGGAAAAGGAAAAGTTTCTTCTGATGGCCATCCGACCGTAAAAATCCAACTCAAACAACGAGGATGAGGTAATCACACCGGTGGCCGTGACGGGAGCGATCACGGCACAGGGGAAAGGAAGCTGAAGCTTAAATCAGCTTGAAGAGACACTGTCACTCGTCGCCACTGCCTGCCAACATTCATCTTCCGCTCGCCCCCCGCTTCCCTTCCCCTTCCTATCCGCCGGCGGCAAGCCATAGCCCGGCACTGTTGGGGTGCAGGATGGGCCAGGGGATGAGCTGCGCCTGTTCCGGCTATGACCACGACTTCTTCGCTGCTGTCCAAGGTGGCGACTTGAGGGCCGTGGAATCGTTCATCAGGAGTGATCCCTCGTTGGTTTTCCGCACCACCATCTACGACGGCCTCTCCGCCCTCCACGTCGCCGCCGCCCGAATGGGCGCGTCGAGGTGCGCCCCGGGCTTCCTTAAGCCTCGTTGTCCCCTTCTCTGGTTCCCATCGTCGGTGTTTTCTTGATCAGATCTCGGATTCTTTTGTGAATGTTGGTAGGTGTTGTCGATGATTTTGGATCGATCTGTCAATCCCGACACCGTGAACCGGCATAAACAGGTGATAAGTTCATAAAAATGCAAAATTTCCGTATCTACAGCCTCTTTGATTGTTCATGCTAGAAATCTAGTTGGAAAAGTCTTTATTCTTACGGGATTTCCTTGATCGTGCAAAGACTCCATTGATGTTGGCCGTGATGCATGGGAAATTCGCCTGCGTGCAGAAACTACTTGAAGCTGGGGCAAATGTGAGTCAGGATTCTTGCCTTTTGGCTCTCTTTTCTTTTTCGTGGGGCTCATTGGTTAGAAATCCTAAGTTATGATGTCGAAATTGATGTTTTCTTCTTTCTATTTGGTAGATCTTAACGTTTGATTCTTTAAACGGAAGGACCTGCCTGCATCATGCTGCTTATTATGGCTATGCCGACTGTCTTCAGGTGATTCTGTCAGCTGCTCAATCCGCGACCGTTGCTGATTCGTGGTAGGTTTCTGTAAAATCGTGTTATTTCTTGCTGAGCAGGATCAAGATCTTCAGATCCTGCACTTTCTGGTAATCTTCTTTTTCTTTTAAACCTCTGCTTCGATTTGTAATTCATTTGCAGGGGATTCAGGCGTTTTGTGAATGTGAGAGATAGCAGTGGAGCCACTCCTTTGCACCTTGCAGCAAGGCAAACAAAGCCTGATTGTGTCCACATTTTGCTAGACAATGGGGCTCTTGTCTCTGCTACCACCGGCGGATATTGGTAATGTTCGATTTTGCATTGCTCCCTCTCGAATTATACGGACTTGTATAATTGGTGTGAAGTCTGAATGTTGAGACTGTAGCTACGAGCGTAACAGGTTCCCTATTGCAGTTGCCCTGGGAGCACAGCTTTGCACTTGGCGGCTCGGGGTGGAAGTTTGGATTGTGTTCGTGAATTGCTTGCCTGGGGAGCTAATAGGCTTCAGAGAGATTCATCAGGGTGAAAATGCTTTGTTTGTCCCTTTTGCTCCTGATCTTTCATTTTTGGGCTTAGCTTAAGTCAAACACGCTACACTAATGATGGTTTATTCTGTTGGCTTTTCTCCTAAAGGAAATTTGGCATGCCTTTAGACTTTTCCCCCAATTTTTTCTCTTCTTTACTGACTTCAATTTTTTTCGTTCTGAGTGGTGGTAGCAAAACTAAAATTCCAAAGTCTAATACCTTTTAGCTTTTGTCTCGCTAAATTCAAACAGTCAACTAGCACAATCTTCCGAAATTGTCTTATGAATTATAACTTGTCAAGATGGCTTGCTTCCCTGATGGTACTGCAGGAGAATACCATATGCTGTTGCACTCAAGCGAAACCATGGAGCATGTGCAGCTTTACTGAATCCATCAGCGGCGGAACC